GGGTGGGAAACCAGTCCAAACGAGAGTAAGAGCAGAGAGAAAGTGAGAGAAACAGCCAAACAGACAGCGAGAACAAGACAAGCGGAGAATACAAGTGGTAGATCACCAGGAACGAAAACAAATGAGTTAAGGGTTGGAGGAATTCAAATATATTAAGTCCCATATAAGAGAAAGATATATTGACGAACACCAATGCTGTTAATAAATTGTCAATACAATGTAAATACAATATGTGTGATGTTATCCAGGGTACTTCGTTGATTAAGCATCTAAATTCTCAATAGGTCACTTTTCTTACACTTGAAGTGATAATGAACAAAATGAACATCTTCTGCTAATTTATTTACCCTCATCCAAGTCATCGAAGATGTAGGTGGTTTTTAATCTTCAACACTGAACACTGAAGTAAATTTGTTTAGCTGAAACTATTCTTTGGTGATCAAATGTAAGTCAACGCCTACCAACACTCTCTTATGAGTCAAAAAAAACATACAGGGAAAATCAAATTAAAGGGGTAGTTCACCCAAAAAAATTGTATTATCCCATGATTTATTCCTCTTAAGGCATCCTAGATGCATATGTCTTTATTCTTTCAATCGAATCCTGTCAGAGGCACTGCATGTGGAAATCATGTTTGGCTTTTGCTGCTCTACAATGGCATTGGGCGGCTGTTTTTATCAGCAGTCCAAAAGCCCTATAAACCGCATCCATCCATAATAAAACAGTGTCTCATATGGCTCTGGGGGATGAATAAAGGTATCCTGTAATGAATTGATGTGTTTTTGTAAGAAAATATATCCCTATTTAAAACTTTTAATGCTGAAATTAACGCAGAAGTGAAGTAAAGATAAATTTAACAAAAACACATAGATTGACTGTTTTTAAGAAACCCCCTCATTCCCCCTCCCAGAGCCATAGAAAGCACTTTTTATTATGAAAGGACAAAAGCCAAATATAATTAAAAATATTTCTTTATAACTGAAATAATAAAGTCATATATACTTAGGATGCCTTGAGGGTGAGTAAAGAATGGGATAACTTTCATTTTTACAGTGAACTAACCGTTTAATACCCGTGGTTCATGGGTCATATAAAGTGAATAATTTTATTTAGAACTTTGTTTACAATATTTCATCCACGACAAACACATTCACATGCTCTGCAACCTATATAAAAAGATTAGATTTTACAGATTACAAATGTTTCGCTGCATACATCACATCAACAACACATCCTTATGAGACGAGCCCGTCACAATCCAGACTGTCTTGAACACAGTCAGGATCTTTTGCTGAATTGAGTTCCTTGCACAGACCTATGCTTTCCATTCAAAAGATCTGAATGTATAATGAGCTGTTAAGTAATGTTTTGCCTGTATATATTCAGTGTTACCCCTGTCTTTATCTTAGAGGTTGCCCTGTATATTGCATGTGGTGGGATTCTGCTCTCATTTACACAGGTAAGTAAACTCACATAAAATATGTTGCGTCAACCAGATTAAAATCGAAAAATTATCTGCAGAGTCAGGCAAAAGTAAATAAATCCTGCTTTTAGGTGCGGTGTTGCACATTGCATCCAATGTGTGGCTCATGTCGTGTGATGTTATCGCAATTCGCATTCAGCCAGAGCATGTTCAACTAGGCTATTTATGTTGTCTTTCATTCATTCATTTTCTTTTCGGCTAAGTCCCTTTATTAATCCACAGCAGAATGAACGGCCAACTTATCCAGCATAAGTTTTACTCAGCGGATGCCCTTCCAGCTACAACTTATCACTGGGAAACAGCCATACACTTTCATTCACACACATACACTACTGACAATTTAGCTTACCCAAATCATTTATACCGCATGTGTTTGGACTGTGGGGGAAACCAGAGCACCCGGAAAAAAACCCACCCCAACACATGGAGAACATGCAAACTCCATACAGAAATGCCAACTGACCCCGCCGAGGCTCGAACCAGAGACCTTTTTGCTTTAAGGTGACAGCGCTACCCACTGTGCCACTGCACCGCCTTCTTTATTTATTTAGTTGTATTATTCACAAAACTCCTAACAGTTGCAAGAGATGCACATCTGTCTTCATGAGTGTACTCTCTCTCTCTCTCTCTCTCTCACACATAAACACACACCACAATCACTATGTGCTGTCAAATAACGTGAAGACTAATATTTATTTTCAAACATTTGTTTCATTGTAATCTGAGCTAAACATGAGAGAAAAGGTGTGCTCTGATTTTTTTTTATTTTATTTTAGACTACATCCAACGTTTAATGGCTCATTTGATTTATACTGAGAATACAGAACAAAAAGTAGCTCAGTTTTACTTATGTCATTAATTTATTCATTCATTTTCTTTTCAGCTTAGTCCCTTTATTAATCTGGGGTCGCCACAGCAGAATGAACCACCAACTTATCCAGCACATGTTTTACGCAGTGGATACCCTTCCAGCTTCAACCCATCACTAGAAAACACACTAATTCACACACATACACTACGGACAATTTTTGCTTACCCGATTCACCTAATGCACATGTCTTTGGACTGTGGGGGAAACCGGAGCACCTGGAGGAAACCCATATGAACACAAGGGGAACATGTAAACTCCACCCAGAAACACTAACTGACCCAGCCGAGCTTCGAACCAGCAACCTGCTTACTGTGAAGCGATTGTGCTACATTCTGCGCCACCGTGCTGCCTATACTTGTCTCCTAAGATAATATTATCTCCCAATAATCTAGTCCCAGTCTTTATCTGTTACAAATATTGCTGCAAATTTTGAGAAAAGACACTGTAAAATCAGTCAATAGGTATCAAATATCCAAGGGGAAACACTGATGCCTTTTGATTCTCAAAGTACCAGAAACATTTGCATTTGATAAATCACCAAGAACCACATTTTCAGCTAAACATCTTCTATAATGATCTACTGAAGGAAAAACAATCACTGTTCACCTTGAATGGCCCGAGCATTCGTAAATCAACAGCACATTTTTGGGTGAACAATCGCTATAATCTACATCAAAGAGATTTCTCTCTTCGAAAGATTTCTGAATATGATTTGCGCAATAAATTGAAGAAATTATTAGAGGAGAACTCACTAAACTTTGATGACGTGCATCACGATTTTGCCCATCACCGGTTGTTAACAAATCAACAAGTGCTGTGGGTTCTTTATTGTTCCATCATGCATTCTTTTGGTTTCCCCTAACGTGAGGAGCCAAATTTTCCATTAAACACGGAAAAGCACTGCTTTTCTTTGAAGTGCAAGTGACTGCCTTTCTTTCAGTCTACATCAAGAGTTTAAACATAGCCTGACACGCGTCACAGACTGTAGGCAGGAGTTTCTGAGTTTGAGTGCTGCATACAAGTTTCAGTGATAATGACCTATTTTTGAAAACCACAGCAAAAGTGTTTGCATATGATCAACTTCTACCTTAGAATGTCAACAGAGTACAAAATATACCTGGATGACTTAAAGGGACATCTTGGACAAAAACACAATTCTGTTCATCATTTACTTACCATCATGACATTCCAAAGCTATATGACTTTCTTCTGCAGAACACACACACATAAATAAATTAAAGACTTTTGGATAGATATACCCATTCTATAGGCAAAAAAAAAAAAAGAAAAGACAAGAAAAAAGTGTTCCGCAGAAGAAAGAAGGACATGAGCATAAGTAAACAATGCAGAAGAACTTTAACTTCTATAAACTATTTCCTCAAAGGCCTTTAACCAGAAATAACTACAAAAATATGGTAACATTCTTAGACGAATGCAGATTAATGTATTTTTCGTGTTATTTCTCTGTGATATCAATAAAGCCAACTATCTTATTCCAATGACTGCTCCTTACTCATTCGCATCTTCTGTCTGGGAGTTTTAAAACATAGCTGACTAACAGTGATGATAAATGCATGAATCTCCTCGACACATCCCGACAGAGGTAAAGTCACAGCCAGGTCTGAAATGTGTTTTTCATCTTTTCCTGTCTTATCCAAAAGAAATCCTCAACATCCATTAGAATGTTTTCCTGATCTTACACATACACACACAGTTACGCAGATGATACTGTGCAGACTTGCCATGCTTTGTGCCAGCCATGAGCAACATTACATGCACAATGCAATGCAAGACTGAATGGAAAATGGTGATAAGAGAGTGATAGTTTCATTTCATGTCATATCAGTAAGACCACAGGAAGCGGCAAGCGACTGGTAGATGACAAACTGGAACAATGTTGACACAAATCACAGACAAAGCAAAGTAAAACAGCTATTAACCCATTACAGATTTTGTTCTTGGAGATGTACTTTTTAAAAAAGTTTTACAACACTCACATACAGTACGGGACTGTTTAATAAAAATCCCTCTTGCAAGTCTTTTGCTGACTGCAGTCCATTAAATCCACTCTCAGCATGAATTATTTTAACTGATACTGATATTGCTTCACAGCTAAATCTTTGCATTCCCAGACATATTTTATGACACTTCTGTAAATAAACTGCTACAATAACATACTACAGATTCGTTAAGAAACATTTTTTAATTTGATATTATTTTGATTGTGCCTTTCAGACATTCTATGGGCTAGAAATAAATTTGGTCATACATATCAACCAGCAGACCGTAGAATATTAGTGCTTAATATCTGATAATACTTAATTTGAGGCTTGCCCAAAAGACATTATACCATAAGCATTTCTGCAAGCACATGTCAGCTTATTCTACCTACAGTCTACAGCAGGGGTGCCCAAACTCGGCCCTGGAGAGTCGTTGTCCTGGAGAGTTTAGCTCCAACCCTAATCAAACACATCTGAACCAGCTAATCAAGCTCTTACTACATATACAAGAAACCTTCTGGCAGTTGTGTTGTAGAAACTTGGAGCTAAACTCAGCAGGACAAAGTTTAGTATGAATGTCTAAAGGGGCCACCAAAACAAAGTTTAAACTGCAAAAGACAATGATGAAAATAAATTTAAGACTCACTCGTAGAACTCTGCGGCCGGTGTGTTCTTGTACTTGGCATAGGATGTTCCATTACCCAAGACGGTGCCATTGATGTCCTTTGGCTCTGTGCAGTTGGGGCTGTTCCACGGGTTGTTACAGTGAAGCCAGGGCAGCTCACTCGTCAGTGAAGCGTATAAGTAATACAGTGACCATGCTATAATAACATTGTAGTAAAAGCCAACATAGAGTGCTATGACAATCACTGTGTAGCCAACACCTGAGGAGAAAAGTGAGAAAAATATATATTTTTAAACTTAATTTAGGTCTGTTTGTTTTAATATGTGAAGTTAAAAGTATGTGTAATGACTTCAAAGTCAAAGCAGCAGTCCTAGAACTGAGCCTTGCGGCACATAATTAAAACTTGTTATTGATTTGATACCATTTCATTTACTGATACAAACTGTCAGATAGCTTTGACTTGAACCATGAATTACATCAGATCACATCAGACCCACTGTGTAACCTAGTTCACAGACTCAACAAGCACAGTTGTTGGCTTTTGTTGGGTCATTGTGTTAACCGTGTTTGCCTGGTCACTTTGAAAAAGGAGACATCCAAAAGGATTTTTGCTTTGGTGATTGTTGGTAGTGAAATATCAAAATGAACTAGTTGACATTTGTTGAACGCACAGTGATTTGCAAATTCTTATCCTTTGTGACTACTCTTTAGTCAATTTTCTACATACCTTTAAATACAGGACAGATTTTCCAAAGAGTAGCTGCTCCCTCTCTGTTATACTGACCCAGAGCAAGTTCCATGTAAAACAGAGGCATCCCAGCAATAAACAGGAACAGAACATATGGGATCAAAAAGGCACCTGGGGGACACATTATAGAGTTTAACATTTAAATGCTGACAGATTACGTATGGAAGGCCAAAGAATAAACAGATGAACAATAGTCACTCAATCGTAACTGCTTGTGTAGTGAAAAGGTCAATCTAAGATCATTTTAACATAATCATAGTTCTAAACGCTCACTTTGTGTTATTTGTAATATTTTTAGATGTGGAAAATATGAAAACTACACATGAAAACATAAATCTACCAAACACTGCTCTATTTGTTTTTGTTCACACCGGTTTCAATATTATAGTTTTAATATTAGAATTGGTAATTTGTTTATTATGTTAAAAGAAGCTTCAACATTCATGGTGGACAATGTGTTGCCTATTATACTAAAATATGTAAAAGCATAAGTCATTTAATGCATTTTTGCACAAAGATAGATACGAAAATATGCTAAGTTATACAAATAATACAGCCCAACAGCCCACTGATGGCTAATGAGTTTGTTAACACTGACATTTTTTTCATAGAAACAACTGGTTCGAAATTATTGAGTGATTCGAGTCATAATGACTGGACTCAGGCGGCATCATGAAATGCTGTTCAATTGGGTGTTTGTTAACAGCTCTTCAAACTAGCTCTTTTAACATTAGAACAAAACTCTACAAACTTTATGGAGTAAATACATTCTACTGCTGCACAAGTAAAAGGATACATTGAATATTTGAAATGTAATTTTTGCATGAATAAGATAAATAAATTCTAGTATGTTTGACAATTGCTTTTTTATTTTATTTTAATATCATCTTTATATATTAATACCCTGTTCAAATTATTGATGAATAGAATGATATAAAAAAGTTTGAGACAGAGTGTGTCAATGTTATACAAAGAATGCAATTAAATAATTTTCAGAAGCAATAAAAAAGTTTGCAATCTATTTCAACAAATAATTATAAATTAAGTAAGCTAATTTACATATTGTTAGATCAGAAGTAGCCATATAAGCTATGGGGAAACCCTCAAAATAAACAATAGCATTAAGCTTACCTCCACCGTTTTTGTAACACAAGTAGGGGAACCTCCACACATTGGCCAGGTCCACAGCAAAGCCTATGACAGAGAGCAGAAAGTCCATTTTCTTGCCCCAGGTCTCCCTCTCAATTTCTTCACCGGAGGCAGAGGTGCAGGCGCGGGAGCTCGGGGAGGCCACGACCGAGGAGTTCGTGTACTGGACCCCATTCTGCTCCTTCACCAGGATCAGCTCCACTTCCTTTTTCTCCACGTTAAACTGTTTCAGCGGGGCCACCGAGGACAGTTTGTGCTCGGGCAGGACTTGGATGTTCATCTTTGCGCCCTGGCGCTCTCGTGGCCCCGAGGATGTGGAGCAAGTGAAGTGCGTGCCGCTCGCGCTGACGATGATGATGATGCTGCTGCTGATGATGATGATGCTGCTGCTGCTGAGGAGGATGATGAAGAAGATGATGATGAACAAGACACGCTACAGCAGTTCCTCTCCCGGTGAGGTAGAGAGTGTTGCCAAGCTTTCATGAGCTGAAAGAAAGGAGAAATGAAAGTTTACTGTTACTGTGGGGCAGTCAAGCATCCCATGCACTCTTAACCAAGCGCGCGCAAAGCGATTTACTGTAGGCTATTTGCGAAAGCGTTTAGTCACGGTTAGCAAAGAGAAGAAAACTTTACAGTGTCATTCGCTCAGCATTGTTCGCTGGACGCACTTCGTGGAATAACAGTGCATGTCTGCATAAAGTGTAGCTTTTCGAGAGTGTAATGTTTAAAGATGACTCTGTACTTGTCATGAGGGGGTCCCTCCATGATCCGTCCCTCCTGCTTGATCCAGAAAATGAGAGACTGACGCTTCTCTTGGAAGTTTTACTCTCCCCTCCCTTCCAGCTGCAGGCTATAACTGTGAGTATTTAAACCAACATGCAGTTTCTTCACACGTGATATTTCTATATGATCATCATCGCCAGCATCATCATCGTCTTGATAATGTTTTTGGAAGCTTCTCCTCCGCCCAGAATGCCAAACTCATCCTGAGGTAAACACGCGCTGCGCCACCGCTGGACTTGAAAATGAAGCCGACGCACCTTGCAAGTACTTTTTAGCACGTTTATCGCAGATTTTCCAAAGCACTTGGATGATTTCACCTAGATCTGCTAGTCGACTTTGAAAACACACTGTACGTGTGAGCGGTGGTTACATTCCTGGGAGAGAATCTGTTTTTCTTTTTTTTCTTTTTCAGAAATTAACCCAAAAGCGCAGAATTTGCACAGAATTTTCTGTAAATAAATGCAAATTATTAGCTGAAACTTTTATCACCGTCATAGCTAACAATGAACTTTTGCCAAAACACTTGTTATTTGCAGGTGATGTGTACAAAATAAGAAACAACAACAGGATGGTGCGTTAGGGTAAGTCATGTCGGGAAATTTGATTTTAAGAGTTGAACGGACATGAAAGCCATCATAAAGTCGTGGGAACGTCGGGATTTTCGTTTCCGACTTGGAGGCGTGTCCATGAGAACAATGGGATGCAGTTGACGTTCTGACTGTGTTACATTTGTTGAGGGCATTTTTTGTCATTTGAAATTAATCTAAATACATCAACAAAATAGTTTAGTGCAACAGAATATGAGCATTTATAGTACTACTTTCATAACTTGAATAAAAAACGGAGCAAAAACCCACATTCAGAATAATGTAGATGTCACACTCACAGAGAGAGAGACAGAGAGTAACAGGTAACATGAAATCTGGATTGTCATATAAAAATATCATTAATTCATTTTGTTTTTAGCATAGTGCCTTTATTAATCAGAAGTCGCTACAGCGGAATGAACTATCAACTTATCCAGCAAATGTTTTTTATGCAGCGGATGCCCTTCCAGTTGCAACCCATCACTGGCAAACACCCACAAACTCTCATTCACACACATACATACACTACGGACAATTTAGCTTACCCAATTCACCTATAGCCCTTGTCTTTGGACTGTAGGAGAAACCGGAGCACACGGAGGAAACCGACGTAGACTCTACACAGAAACGCCAACTATTACTCAACTGAGGCTCGAACCAGCAACCGTCTTGCTGTGAGGCGACTGCACTACCCACTGCGCCACCCTAGAAAATATCAAGTTCTTGCAATTAGAGTAAATTACTTTTTTGTAAAATAGTCTAATCTACTTTTTCATGGAATGCATGATTATATATTAGTTACACACTGATAGTAAGCTGTTTACAAATGATTGTTTCTTCTAATATACAATGTCATTAATTCGATGTTGACCAAGCGCTGTGCTAAAGCAAAGGTCAAATTAGTTTTTTTAAACATTTAACTTGACAAGCTTAGATGCTATTGAACGTCACAGAATGGGGTACTAAGTCTTGTGCTAACAGCATTAAAACAATCGCAAAATGTGCATTTAAACTATTTATTTATAATTAGCTGAATCAACACAATTCCTTAGAGTTTTGTGGAATAACTTAATTGTTTTATGTTCAATCAACTTATATTTGTAAAAACAAATTAACTTAATTGATTTGTGTTCAGTTAACATGAATAAATTGCGTGGAACCCAGCATTTCTTACAGTATAAGATGCCAAAAAATCTAGAAAACAATTCAAAAGTCACAGTGTAGGAAAACCTTATGTTTTGTAAATGTTTCCAATGTCTCCAATCATTTTCGAGCACTTAAAAAAATGCAGGGTTCCACACAATTCATTTATGTTGTCCCAACACAAATTGACTAAGTTAACTTAACACTTTTAACAAGTTTATGTGGATTGAACATTAAAAAAAAAGATTGTCCCAATGAAATTTTAAGAATTGTGTTATTTCAGCTCATTTTAAATAAGTAGTTTGAACGAGCAAAAAATAAATAAATAAATACATTTTGAGTAAAGCATGAACACACCTTTACTTGCCTTTCCCCATCATTTCCATGATTTGGAAAACATGGATGGAATCCAGCAATCCAAACATAACATGAATAAGATTTGTAATTGTAATGTCTCAAAAATGAATACATCTAAAGTATTGATGTACATAAAAATTGTGACATTGTTTAACCACAAAAACATTTTTCTTAATTATTAACTGTTAAATGTATTTTATTCCATGATTTAAATTAACCAGACACACTTTATGCCTTTTGATTACAAAAATTAACTCATTTAAGTTAGGAAGTGGGCCTATTCTGAACTGTACATATTTTTACTATATCATCCCTCATGTGTCAATCTGCTGCACAAAAAATAAAACTCACTGTCTTGTGAATTATCATCTTATTTAGATGCGCATGCGTTTAAATGTGTTTAATAAAAAATCTCGCTTACCCCCAAAATCTAAGCAATTTCCCTCCTAATTCACACCCTGTGTAATTTGCCAAGACATAAAAAAGCAAATAAACTATGACTATGCTTTATCCCTCTCCCAACACTACTACAATTTTGTATTTTTTTAAAGTCTGTTTTTATTCATCCTTTGAGTTGCCTGTTTCTTCTCTCTTCTTCTACATAGATTCAATTAGTTGTTTTCTAAGAAGCAGTAAAAGCATTGTGTTCCACGTGTAATCTAATTCCACACCCGCTTTAGCCAAAGGCGACGATTTCTATTAGATATGGGCAATCAGTTCATCCCATTAAAGTCAATGAATGTCCCCTTAAAGCTCTCCAGCGTTTCTTTTATGAAACCTTTACAGGCCTGTTTTTCTGCAGTTTTGTACATATTCTGCTTCAGATTAGATAACAAAAGTAAGAAACTAGGTTTTAGAGGCTGATTTATTTGTTCTTTAAAACACATTCTTCCTCCTAAAGTAGCTGGAATCCCTCATTTCTACTTTAAGATGTTGCTGTACATGTGGGGAAAGGCTGATGCTGAAGGTCACCTTTGGAGCAAAGCAACCTTTCCTTCGAGGCATGAAGGAGATTTGCATATTTTCCATCAATATTGCAAGTAGTCTCCACTTGACGGGAGTATGCACTGGTATTATGAGCCACTGTGGGCATCTTATAATAAGTCAATCATGTTATAAACACAGCCCCTGACCTTTGACCTGAGGAGTCAATCTCATTGTAAAACCCCATCTCAGAATAACCATTTATATCTATTATTTAGACATTATTTTCATTGAATGAAATTGTATGATAAAGATATTCTCCAGTTCATGGCACAATGTTTGAATATGTTTCATATCTATGAATCCCTATACTTTTAGATGATGTCTGACCGCATCTGGGCTCACAGTAGAATGACACTTATTGCACTAAATAAGTATTCTTGATTTCCCTTAATTATGCTGTTTTTAGCTCTGTGACAGATCAATATCACTAATATGGGGTCATTTGTGTCATTCAGGACAAGACTAATGACCTGGGATCAGTTTTGCCCTTTTCATTTTCTAGTGATTGTATTTACATGCAGTTTGGATTTAATCTTGGATCAATACACCTATAGTGTTTTACAATCCATATGCAGCATTGACCATTAATGCATTCATGAATATACTTCGAAAAGAAGGTGGCTTACAAGAAGAATAACAGAAGTAAATATCATGTAGATACTCGCACCTCTTCAGTAAATTAGATTTTGCTATAAAACTAAAAATGTGAACTTCATAAGAGCAATGTCAAAACAATATTTTATATTATATATTATATATCTATATTGTGACTTTGCATAAATTATCACAAATTTAGGCATTAAGTTGGATGGACTAAAGGTAGAAATAAAGGTAGAAAGATAGAAATAACAAAGGTACAAAATTTGTCACTGGGTGGTACCTATATATATATATATATATATATATATATATATATATATATATATATATATATATATATATATATATATATATATTTTTTTTTTTTTTTTTTTTTCCGTTTTGCACATTTCACATGTTGATTTTTTCAAAACTGTTTATTTGATTGATTGAAATAATTATATATACTACAAGTTTGAGAAAAACAGTACTTAAAGTGTACAATATAGTTGATGACATACTTGCACACGGGTCTAATTTTGAATTTTACATCAGTAGAAAACATAAAATGCAAGTAAAGTGTCTAATTATTTTTACAAAGAACCTTTGTGAAGATAATATGTACATATATGGATGAAATAACGCTCCACTCTTTAACATATAAAGAAGCTTAAAATATTATATATATATATATATATATATATATATATATATATATATATATATATATATATATATATATATATATAATTTCTTTTTTTTCTACAAGTTTGAGAAAAACAGTACTTATAGTTTACAATATAGTAATATTTATGTAGTTTGAAATTTGAGAAAATATAAGAGAAAATGTATGAAAAATGTTTAAGAAAATATAAGTGGTTGCTAACTTTATCAATTTCTTCATGTTTTGAAAGACGTGTTACTGGACTACTGTAAAAAAAAATATTGTGACATACCAAAAAAAAAAAAGAAAAAAACACAAATAGCATGAGACTAAAATAGGAATGACCTTTTAAGCATCTTGATTACTTTTTAAGTAATAATTTTTTTTTCCAAAAAAAAAAAAAGTGTAAAGACATGTACGGTATGATGTTTTGAATGGGATGAACTGAGTTCAGTGAACTACTACTATAAAAGTGTTCTTATCTATAAAACCCAGCAGCATGGAGCTTTCAAATCAACTAAATGTCAATATTAATTGATCTGTCTGTCACAACTGGCTACACAGCTAAACAAATGAAGAACTCATTTTCTCATCATCAAATCTGAACCGAAATTGAATTTGTTTTGTATTGTCAATGACATTATTCCAGTGTGACTATAATGATAGTCACAAACCTGTTATTAACACATTTATAATGAATTTCAAATAAATTAAATCTTCTGAACCTTCTATCAAACAAAAATTATTTAAAGTCTTTAAAAAATGTAACACAAAATTATTGTGATGTGACACTGAAGACTGAAGTAATGGCTAATGAACTTTACCATTACAATAATGCACTGCTTTCTAGTTTTACTGCAAAACAAATGTTTTTTTACAGTAAGTTCAATTAAGTTAAGACGGCCTTAGTAACTATTATATATAATAATAATTACATATTTATGATGACATAGTTGCGCACGGGTCTATATTTGAATTTTACATCAGTGGAAAACATAAAATGCAAGTAAAGTGTCGAATTAATTTTACAAAGAACCTTTGTGAAGATAATATGTACATATATACATGAAATAACGCTTCACTGGCATTTAACATATTAAGAAGCTTAAAAAAATAACTTAGACTATATGCCCTATATAAAATATTTAATGTGAACTATTGTTACCGGGGCGGCACGGTGGTGCAGTGGGTAGCACTGTGCACTGTTGCCTCACCGCAAAAAAGTAGCTGGTTTGAGCCTTGGCTGGATCAGTGGACATTTCTGTGTGGAGTTTGCATGTTCTTCCCGTCTCCGCGTGGGTTTCTTCCAGGGTCTCTGGTTTCCCTTAAAAGTCCAAAGACATGCAGTACAGGTGAATTGGGTAAGCTAAAATGGACATATGGATGTGTATTAATGAGAGTGTATGGATGTTTCCCAATGATGGGTTGCAGCTGGAAGGGCATCCAAAACATAAAACATGTGTAAAACATATGCTGGATAAGTTGACGGTTCATTACGCTGTGGCGATTCATGATTAATAGAAGGTCTAAGCCGAAAAGAAAATGAATGAATGAATTTATTGTTACTGAACAATATTTAACTGACATGACAGAACTTTTTTGCTCATTCCTAAAAAGAAACACCACAGGGTGAAGTAATACATCATCTTTTTTCTGAACAATGTATCTTTAGTCACGCAAAAAATCAAGAGCAGGTGTGGTGATGATATCCGTGAAATTACATTGTGTGCTCTGCTTGTCCTGCCCGAGAGAGCAGAGTTGAGTACATTAGCATGAATTCATCCAGCGGTTAGCAAGGATAATGCATGGTTTATATGTGCTCTCGCTGAGAAGAACTTTAAGGCCAGGACCTCCTGCTGCAGAGGGCATGATCACACAAACTGGAAAAGAAGGAGAAAACGAAATTAAACCAATAAAACACACTGATTTAAAGCAATATTCTGACATTTTGACAACTTGGGGGAGAAAGAAGCAATGGGAAAATTGCAAAATGAAACATACTACATGCACGCCCTCATTCTAAAGGAAAAACATATACATTGTCTGCACATGCAATGGGAGTAAAGGGCTTGTGATTTGCAGCTATTTTGCAACCCGTCAATTAGCAGTGCAGCCTGTCGGCACTGACCTTTTCAGTCAAGCCCCCTCATCTGTTCCAGCACAGACCGCCCCGCCAAAGCCCTAACAGCTAACTCTTGTTTGGTGTTTCGCAAATAAAACCCGATTACTTGGCCTGATTGTCCACAATTTGACTAGGCAGACTCACCTCAGGCTGAAATAAAAATGAATGCTGCAATATTGGTAGCAAAAGAAGGGAGAAAAGGACAGCGCAAGAGAGAACGACAAGGTAAACAGAGAGAGAGCGTGCGCGGGTGAGGGAGAAAAGGAAACAGTAACAACAATGCGCCTTAATTGATTCCGTGCAATCTCATCAGTTGTGATTAAAATGAAATGCCCCCCTCATGTTTGAAAAGGTTAAAACAAATTGACGGTGGAAATCACAGCTGCTTATCACAGCGCGCGGAGCAGCAGGACTTTAATGAAGTGACTGCAATCCCATCCTTCATCCCGATGTATCAGACGAGAGAGAACATTAGCTACTCATAAGACATCATCATATCATCATCCCCGATCTGCCCTCTGAAGATATATTGACAAAAGCACTCACTGGCAGAGTACCCATACTGACAGACTTGGTTTTGATATACTGCAGCTCAGCACAACCAAAGGTGCATTATGGAACCACTTAAAGATCAACCTTTGTCTTCTTTACCGACCACTATTATAATATTTAAAAAGGACAGATATTACATCCTGTGCAGACAAATTTGCATTAGGACTAACCAATTTGTAGGCCCTGTTCCAAATGGCCATCTGGCAGACTTGCAATGGATGCTACATACTGTAGGTATACATGAAGTTCTCATGGACAGGGGGGTTTCTCTGAGAGATAAATCAAGCTACAATGCAGGCAAAATGCACTATTCACTTATGATTCATTATTCTGAGTTTTTGATTTTGTGACAGCTGAGCTGAGTTTGTGTGTAAACATGTGGTTTTGATCTACAAGGTTATAGGGGTTGCATCTGAAAGATGAAAAAGCGTAGTATAATGCTGGCAGGACATCGGAAGACACATCTGTATCGTATGATCAAGTCAGATCCGATGCATCCAACATCGCCTTCATAATATACAGTATATGTGAGAAACAATATGTGAGCTGAGAAGCATGTCTGAATTCATAGTGTTTGACCAAAAAAAAGTACCTGGATGATCTATTTTCAACAAAATTCTTCAATGGACATTTTACTCTCCCATGAGGCCATGGGAGAATATTTGTGAATGGACATTATGCAAATGGCATTAGTGTGTGTTAAGAGGACAATATCCCAGATGTAGCATGTCCAAATTTCATTCATACTCATATCCATACTATATGCAACAATGATTCATTCTTTTATTTTCTTTTTGGCTTAGTATCTTTATTAATCTTGGGTCGCCACAGTGGAATAAACCATTGACTTATCCAGCGTATGTTTTACGTAGCAGATACCCTTCCAGCTGCAACCCATCACTGGGAAAGACCCATACACTCTCATTCACACACATACATTATGGTCAATTTAGCTTTCCCAATTTACCCTTGGCGGAGCACCTGGAGGAAACCCACACAAACACAGGGAGAACATGCAAACTCCACACAGAAATGCCAACTGACCCAGCCGGTGCTCAAACCAGCGACCTTCTTGCTGTGAGGCGATTGTGCTACTGCGCCACAGTGCTAATTGACCTTTTTAAATTATTTAATTTCTGTTAGACTCCCCTGAAAAAAGACGATTACAGTTCAATTATATCTATAAATGCTTGTAGTTTGTTCATTATATTGTCAGCATGTGAACACCCCGATCCTTTTAAAATATGAAGCGTTTCCAATTAAATTTATGCTAGTATTATTAATAGGGATGCTCCAATTGATCGGCCATAGATTGGTATCGGCCGATAATCATATTTACAAGTTTACAAGTTTACAAGCAAAGAACATATAAGAACTCAAATCTTTTTACATCTTATTGTGTTTTTAACAATATTGAAAGTTCATGAATACTTGGCTGGAATTATTGCACTGTAAAAGTTAAGGTAACTTAAACCATTTAAAGCAGCCAATTGTTTCGGCACCAGTGGTGTAGTGGTTAGTGTGTTGACACATGCACTCCAGTGCTCATGGCGGATGATTCTTGCCTTGTGGTCCTATGCCGATCCTTCCCCTCTCTCTGCTCCCCATGCTTTCCTGTCATTACTCACACAGTAGTTTATAGGCCTATTTCCTTTGTTAAAGAAGTAAAGACTAGGTGTGCATTTCTACTTATTTTGCATCAAATATGCATTCCAAACTTCTTTGAGACATGTTGAACTCTTCTTCCATAATTTGCAATGTTTCTAAATTGCTTCGGTAGTGATCTTTCTTACCAATTTTTTTGTATGTACACTGTAAAACCCAACAGTCAGATTTATTAAATGAAATGAGTGTAGTTAACTCAAAATTGACTGAAAGTTAAGTCTACTCATTTAAAAAGAGTTTTGAACTCAGCGTTGAAGGAAATTAGTTAATTAAAAACCTCATTACTTCAACTTAAATGGAGTAAGTTCACAGTACAATTTACAGTACTCGATAAGTTTGAGTTTTCTTCATTTATTGGGTTTTTCTGTGCTCAGATTGCTTTATTTACTCAAATGGATTAGGTTCACAGTATTCATTAGGATTACTTTTAAAATTTAAATGGTTTGTTGCAATCAGATTCCTCAAATGGTTTGAGTTTCCTTAACATTTTGGGTTTTACAGTGTGTTTTCTATTATTTTCTGTAAAGCTGCATCTGACCATTACATGTCTACGCTAAATGGTTATAAGATACATGTTTAAGGAATTATATGCAATATCTTTAATTTATTATTTAGGTAAGGCAAGATCTCCACTGAAGTATAAAGGGAAAATGTGCTTTATGCATTATAAAGCTTGAAGCTTCAGAATCAGTATGCTTGGTATGGGACAATCACCATGATAAGGAATAGGTACTCGGTAACGGCTGTAAAAATTCTGATCGGAGCCTCCCTATTGATTAATGTCATTAATATAAAGAATATGCAGTGATATTTTACCTTTTTATTTATTTTAATTTATTTTAGATTGTCCTAAATAAGTCAGCTCTAATATATGTATAAATGCTTGTAGTTTTTTTCTCATTATATTGTAACCAAGTGAACGCCCCAATCCCTTTAAAATACAATCTCCAAATAGATTTAAACAAGTATCATTAATGTCATTTTTATCCAGCAGTTCTTATTCAATTACCTTCATCTGACTGATGTTTGAGAACAAAATGTATCCCTCTCTATATGATATCCCACTGATCTGGCACTTGATTCGGTGATGTCTGAAAATAATCGTTGGTGGCCAGATTGTGTATTTTAACAACTTTTGACTTCATTTCTAGTGATAAATGAGCATTGTAGGAAGCAAACATTCACTTAAATCATCTCCAGGGCTCTGTCTGCTTTGCTGTAGATCATTAAATCTTCATGCAGCCTCTGAAAACTGCTCAAAATCAGTTTTGTGAGGTGCTTTTGTGCGTAAACGCTGCCTGTGGTGTCATTGCCTGATAGGGCGGCGAGGCAACAAGTCAACCGCCTGCGCTTCGGATGTAGCCAGGGTGTCTCGCTTGCCATTTTGAAGAACATTTAAAATGACAAACGGACTCTTTATGACCACTGTGTGCCTTCAGAATATTTTTCTGCTGAGCTGTGCTGATGCTGACTCCATATCAGTCTTCTACCAAACAGTTTGTGCTGCATTTTGTCATCAAAGTGTCGGCTCAGATTGAGAGGGTTTTGGCCACTGTTTAAACAGGGCTGACTAGGGCTGTGTTTCATACTGAATGGCCAGTTCCCCTACGTGTTAATCCATTCAATCTATCCATCTTCCTGAAGGACCACTGTTCTGTAATGTTTAGCTTCAATCTGAATTAAACACACTGGAACCAGAAAATGAAGGTCATGTTTAGAAGTTTGATGGGAGGTCAAATCTGCAGCACTGCCCCATCGGACAGGACTGGACAGGTTGTTCTAACCAAAAGAAACAAAGATTAAAAAGAAACAAACTGTCCCTTCAATTCATTTATTATTTGTAACATATTTTGTCCCAAATGAATGTGCAAATACGTTTAACAGCAACCAAATGGGCCTTTGAAGTAACTAATTTAGAGCTATTCGGTTCGGAACGACCCTTCAACAAGGCATTGATGATTTTTCCCCCACATTAATGTGCCTTTCAGACGTAGATTTATCCCACATGGAATGCAGCATATGAGCACAGAAAGGAAAACTTGACCTCTGACCTCCATGTTTAGTGACATTTTATAAAATGACCAAGGAGAAGTGACAAAAAGTGTACACATCATGTACGCAAAAACACATACCCATACTCTCAGTGAAATGAAAGTAGGACTATATGAGCTATAATGGATGCACATTTACAGTATCTGCACATTCACTGCAGATTTACAGTGGATGGATTTCTCGAGTGATTTAAGCAGTCGGTCATTTTATATTCTGGGTGTTGCTGTCACCTAGTGGATGCTTTCAGTATGAACGTATTTGTCAGTGGGTCGGCTAATCAGCAAGTTTTCCTTCTACATCTCTTGATAATTCAAAAGAATGTACAAACTCTTCTAACAAGTGTTCATCCACTCAAACATAAAAGGGCCAACAAATACTAGTTAAAATTCAAAAGATTTTTTTAATTGCAAAAAAAGAAGCTAACTTTGCTGTGTTAACAAAATCCTAATTGCAAGCCGCATTGCTAAATAAATACCACTGCAGTGGGATAATTTGGAAGCAGACCCTATGGTGCTTGATACTGTGGGCGTGTTGTGTTGCCTGTTTGCTCACAAATTGGCCTATTTTCAGTGCATGCAACAGAGTATTAGTCTGAACAAGCAGCAGGAACAAAACGCTAACTCAGCAACATCTCCCCTCAATGGGAATGCAAATAAAAACAAGATGCAAAGCAAAACCTTTGATTACAACTCACTTTCGGTACCAAAGTCCCTGAGCAGAGAAGAAAGAAAAGAACAGAAAAGGGATGGAGAGAAAAAGAAAAGTTTGCATAGGAATCTTTTTTTAAATATTAATGTGAAGAAAAAACTCATTGAGAAATGCTCACTGACAAAAAAAAAGTTATAAATAAAGAAAACACAAACGAAAGCATTTTTTTTTACATGTTTAGATTTTCTATTTTTCTTTAAATCTTTCATTTAGTGTGCTCATTTTTATACAACATGTGGAACATGTATTATGTTGAAGTTTGTTGAATTCTTTTTGTAATTTCTGAGTGGAAACTCAGTTTAAAAATTTTACACAATGTGTGTGTCTCTCTCGTAAGTGAAGGAAATGTGTAATATTTTTTCAATTAATATTTAATTAGATTTTATTAAATTAAATTTGAATGAAAATTGAATGAAAAGTGTTCTCTTTTTTTGCTTGCGTGTATTAAAAGTACAGGATCTCAAAAACATATGTGCCCAACATATAAACAATTTATTCATTCATTCAATCTTTTTTTTTTCGGATTAGCCCCTTTATTATTCTGGGGTCACCACAGCGTAAGGAGCCGCCAACTTATCCAGCATATGTTTTATGCAGCAGTTGTAACCTATCTCTGGGAAAATAAACCATTTATATCTACTAATTAGATTTTGCCTGTGCAGTGGCACCGTGGGTAGCACTGTCATGTTCTCATGTTCTCCCCGTGTTAGCGTGGGTTTCCTCCAGGTGCTCCAGCTTCCCCCACAGTCCAAACACATGCTCTATAGGTGAATTGGGTAAGCTAAATTGTCAGTAGTGTATGTGTGTGAATGAGTGTTTATGGGTGTTTCCCAGCAGTGGATTCATTCCACTGTGCTTACCCCAGATTATTAAAGGGACTAAGCCGAAAAGAAAATTAATGAATAATTAGATTTCATGAAATTGGGTGCGCTTCAAGGTGGCGCAGTAAGTAGCCCTGTCGCCTCACAGCAAAAAGGTCACTGGTTTGAGTTCTGGCTTGGCATTTCTGTGTGGAGTTTGCACGTTCTCTCCATGTTTGCATGGTTTCCTCCAGGTGCTTCACTTTCTGCCACAGTCCAAGCCCAGCAGGCACACAACATCGTAAGACGGTAATATAAGGGTAGATTTAGGTCATGATGTCAGGTGATCAAAATTCAACGTCTAGTCAGCATCCAAGGACAATGTTATTTTGATGTTCAATAACGATGTCAAATTACGTAGAAATTTGGTTGATTTTAGGTTGTACTGGAACGTGACTAAAAGCCAACATCAAGCCACCAAACGTCAAGGTGTAACATGATTAAACGTTGATATATGGTTGATTTTAGGTTGGACATTGGACATTGACATCAGCCTGACGTTGGATTTTGATGTCAACCTGATTTTCATTTACAAGCAAAATCCAACATCCCCACGAAGTTGGGATATGTTAGGGTACAATGTCAATATAAAGTCTTGTTGACATCCTGTGCCTGCAGGGAAGAAATGTACTATACTGTAGGTGAATTGGGTGAGCTAAATTGTCCGTAGTGTTTGTTTGTGAATGAGAGTGTATGGGTGTTTCCCAGTGATGGGTTGTAGCTGAAAGGGCTGCGCAAAAACATAAATAAGTTGGTGTTGTTTTCCACTGTGGCCACCCCTGAATAATAAAGGGACTAAGCTAAAAAGAAAATGAATGAATGCAATAATATACAAGTTAAAAAAAAACTTTCATGTTTTTTCATGTGTGTGTAATGAAAGTACCTAATCTAAAAAAATCTACATTTCCTCTAATTATTTATAAGCAATTCAAAAGTATTAATTAGATTTCATATAAAACTGTGGAATTACATGCCATTAAGTCTAAAAGCTGCAGATATGTTTTTACCTTAATCACAATAAGAACAGTTTCAGCATGCTTATACATATAAACAAGCTTTTAAATAAATCATTAAATAGTTTATGAAACACTTGATGCTGTAAACAGAAAACTAGATTTTTTGATAGGGCATGTGCTCGTCTGCAGAAGCACACCACCCATGCAGGCTTAAGGCACATGTTCAGATGGCATGGCTTGGAGTATTACCCTTATGTCTGCATGCTCAATCTCCTTCATCTGAGTCAGTCATCTTTCTTATCAGAGGCACTGTCCTCCTGATACTCATCATAAGCAGCAGTACAGCAGTGAGAAAAAGCACTGTCGAAGTCAGTCTCGTCCCCCTGTAGACCCTGGTAACGCTGGAGCTCGATGTAGGTGGTGAAGAGCTTTGCATATTCGGGATGATTGAGAGCGAAGGAACGAAACTCATCTGACAGAGACATTGAAATAGCAAAGTTAGTAGAAATTTGAACTCAAAATGAAAGCAGACTAATGAAGCGAGGTAATAGACAGGGATGAAATTAGTAACCAGCTATAATAGGTAAAGAGTATGTTTGAATCAGGCACAGATGTTTCCTGAAAATGTATTTGAGGTATTCAAGTAGGCTAAAACATGTAGCTGATGACCTGAAATGAGCTCAGAGGTCATTAAAACTTCCTGAAAGTACTACAGTACAAAACTAATTCCTCATTTCAAAACAATTTGAAGTTGAATTGGGCAATAAATCACTATAGGGGTAAAGCATGTCAACCTTTCTGGTATACTAAAAGAATAATGTGAATAATGTGAATGTGCAGACATTTTGTCGAAAGGTGTTTACATAGAGAGCTTACATAATTCTGCTTTAATTCACACTTAAAGCCCTGGGAGATGCTGGCTAATATTGTTTGTGGAATTAATTGTTGGACTATTAAGCCTCAGTAACACAGCATTCATGTTGATATATCAGCTAATTATTGCTGAATGCATGCAAACAAATTAAATAAAGACGCAGTTCAGAATCAAAGTCAAATCAATGATCTCTATTAAGAAATCTGGACTGTGATAGTGTTTGGTATGCTATAGTGAAGTCAGGATAAACATATTTTATTATAAAGCCGTTTATAGAAGAATATTGCTTTAATATCTATCGTAGATTTCATGAATAAGAATTATGCCACAATTATTTTTGGCAGATCAGGGTATCCAACTGTAATATTGATAATAATAATGATAGTTCTGCAAACTACAACCACTGTCACAATTCCTGTGAAATAACAATATGAACATTTGGTGACCCTTTACTTGAGGGGACTGTCATGAAACCTTTACAATTATGACGCATGATCACAAACTTTATTTTATCACAAGTCTTTATCTTTTTCATGACAACTTGACAATTCCAAGACAGCATACCTTGTTATAAATCTGTCAAAAACATGATTGTCATGAGGCATTATAATTATGTCATAAATGCTTTTCAGATCACGTTTTTAATGGAACAAACTATTTGACATTAAAATGTCACATTAAAAGTGTCATTACGGACTTCCGGTTATGGCGAGGTGCTGAGAGGTTGAAATTTTTTAGCTCTGCTGCTAACTTGCGATCAATCCTACAATACCAACCAGAATTGTATCTTAAGTCAAGCAACACAAATATAAAAGCATAGGGAAGAAAAATGTCACGCAAAGGTACCAGAAAAGACAAGAAAAAGACCAGAAACGAAGATGAATATTCTGAGGGTGAAAAAACGAACGACGCCATGGCAGCTGGTGAGGGCCCTGACGAAGATGATGACGAAGCAATAACTTCGGATGGTAACAACGAAGATATCATGAAAGCTATAATGTCCTTGAAAAGTGGACTTTACAAAAAGTGTCATTACTGTCAAATTAATTTTTAAGAGCGCCATTTATATTTAATTATATTTTAATAACAAATTCAGCTTGTACCATTGTAGTTGAGGTAAAAAAAATATTAATGACATTTTTTACATATTTATAATGGCTTCATGACAACCATGTTTATGAAAGATTTATGACAAGTTTTGTTGTTTAGGTAGTCAAATCATCATGATAAAGATAAAGACCAGTTGTGATCTATTAGTTTATGTCAAGTTGTCATAACAAACAATGTCATCTTTGTTTTTTAAAATGTGATAATTGAGCGAATGACACCTAATGACTGTTGTGATAAACATGCATAAAATCTCATTCATATTCATGATTTGTGTCATGTCATGATTCTAAAAGTTTTATGACAGTCCTATGAACATTTCTTCAAGTAAAATGTTACCGAACATTCTAAATGGCATGTAAAAAATACTTATTGTTAAAAAGTGTAATTATCATGGCAGCCCAGAGAACACTTGAAATGTATTTTAAAATGATATGCTATTTGTTGCTAAACTTCAAACACAATGTGTTTGGAAAAAAGCGATGCCTTGATTATTTGTTGTTGTTATTTTAATATTGAGTAGATGCTTGATCTTAAATTTCGGATAAATGCTGTTCTTTTGAACTTTCCATTCATCAAAAAATTTGGAGAAAAAAATTATAAACAAAAATTGAGTGGAAAATCAGCACTGAAGACTGGAGTGATGGTGATTAAAATTCAGCTTTGCAATCAAAGGAAGAAAATTGCATTTTAATATATATATAAAAATAGAAAACAGCTTAAAAGTTAAGAAAATAAATTATATATTTTTAATTGTATTTTACTAAATAGCTTATTGTTGTCAAAAATATTTTTGAGATATGGCAAATCAAGTTTTGGATGTTACATGCTAGAAAAGACTTGATTATTGTGCATCATGCACACATATCTGAGCTGTTACTTTTCCTTTTATTGGCGGTTGACAATACACTCCAATTGTTTGACATCTAATTTATGAAAACCCATTTAACAGTCTTTGAAGGATCACACTTTTAGAATGACTGACCGACAGCATTTATCACAGTGAAAGCTGTTGTACAGTTGGCATACAGACCATAAGTTATGTGTCCTGATCCATCTGCATCAATTTCTCTGAAGAGGCTGTGGACGTCGAGATCACACACTCCAAGAGCTGAACGTAGCAAACTACTGAACTCCTCTTGTGTGATACAGTTGTCCTCATCGATGTCAAACAACTGCAGACAAAAACATAAACTAAACAAACTTTATACAAACACAGAAGGCCAATAAAACACACATTAATGATCCCTCTTTACTGTATCTTTTATCTTTTCTTTTAGCTGAGTAGCTCAAGACTCAAGAGAAAAACCACCCCAATGTGCTAACAACCACTAACACATCATTGCTTTAATGGTTTACCACATCCCAGCATCTTTTTTCACTACAGTACATTAAATCTTCTTGTAATCGTTGCATAGACACTCTATGGGAATGTATGTATTGCAACCATTACTTCAAAAACAGCATCTTTACCATTACCTTAAAAGCAGTCTGAATAACTTCCTCATTATTAGCTGGTCGGCACAGAACCGTGACACCAATGACATACTCTCTGAAATCAATAGTGCCATCCCCATTCTACAAACAGAAATAGAAAACACAACTTTAATTAGGCAAGTCAGTCAATAAAAAATGATATCACTTGATTTATCCATACTCGGATGTTAAATTGGCTGTTTCTGAATAACAAACTCTGTATTAAGCAAGCTTTTAAAACAGATATATGAGAGAATTTGGGGGAAAAATCCACAAATTATTATAATTCAACTGATTGTTACAATTATGCATCTTCTTTCATGAGCTCACTTACCCTGTCAAACAGAGCGAAGAGCTGCTGTAGAGCTGGGCTGATGGGTAATTTGAGGAAGCTGGCGAATTCCTCAACGGTGATCCTCCCGCCTTTGCAAGAACAAGCTATGTTGGCAAAACTCTCCAACTCCTTCTTCACATTGTCCCATTTTAATCTGAGTTTTCAAGAGAGAGAGATGTTACTCATCGCATAACATTTAATAACTCCAAATATTTGGGTGTAACGGTACATATTTTTGTACAGTATTCATATTGTTAAAGTCCTTTTTATTTGGTATGTTGTTGAAAACACTGTATGTGCAAATCCTAATTTGAAAAGTCTAGCTTTACCATACTTTTGACAAGTAGTTTGTCAATCCCAATATCAGTGTCACGATCATCAGCGATCTAGCCTGTGCAGATGGCTGGAGGACAATGCCACTGATAAGAACTACAATTCCCATCATGCACCACACACACACCAGTTCCAGTTCTCTCCAGAATAGGACTCACACAGCTGGAAGCTCATGGTAGACACATCAGATGGATCATATAAACAGCACACACAAACACACACACTTTGCTGGGTCTTGTTTACCTGTAACTTTATGAAGCGTTATTCCATTGTCTTGCCTTGCCGTGTTTCCTGACCTTCACCTTGTTTATTGTTTTTATGTTGTTTGCCGCCTGTACTGATCTCTTCGTCTATGACCCTGACAATTCTTTTGGATTACCTGCATGCTTCTGTTTGTTCCTGTTTGACCATTGCCTGCTTGACTACTCTTGATTATTAAACTGTGTTTGGACCCTCAAATGTGTTGTACCCCAACTCTCCTGTTACAATCAGTATTTCTGTCAGTTTTTTTTAGTTTATGCGTAAATAAAAGTTCAACTTCACTACAGTAGACAACACGCATCCATGTCCAAAAATAGTTTTTTTTTCTTTTGGAAAGAAACAAAGTTCAAACTTCAAATGTTTTCTGATTAATTAAGAAAGTAACACAACAAATGCTCTTTTGAAGCTCTTTGATGGTTTGAGACTATTAGGAGCTGGTTATTTTGTTTGTGTATTTGTGATTTGTAGGCAAGTCATCTCACCTGAGACTCTTTATCTGTCATCTATAAAGAACTTTCATTCATTTTCTTTCACCTTAGTCCCTTTATTTATCAGGGGTCGCCACAGGAGAATGAACCTTTTACTTATCCAGCTTATGTTTTACACAGCAGAAACCCTTCCAGCTGCAACCCAGTACTGGGAAACATCCGTACACACTCATTCACACTCATATACTATGGCCATTTTGGTTTATTCAATTCACCTTTACTGCATGTTTTTGGACTGTAGGAAAACCAGAGCACCTGGAGGAAACCTATGCAAACACGAACAGAACATACACACTCCACACAGAAATGCCAACTGGCTTAGACTCGAACCAGCGTCCTTCTTGCTGGATCACTGATCCACCATGTTGCCCTCCTTACCACCTGTCACTACTATGCACACACTCTTCCCCACTGACTTCCATTAACACTGACTTTGGTTGCTTTGTTAATTGTCTTTTATTAATAAATAATTTCTCTTTACATTTTAACTGGTCTGCATTGTCTCTCTTATGTTACGACTTTGAGTCGGTTGTAACAGAGACAGATTGTTGTATAGGTGGCTTTAATAAAAGTTACAAAGCGCAAATGAAGACAGTACTTCCTTCCTTTTCTTCCTTCCTTCCTCTTTACAGTTCGTTATAAATAACCAATATATCAAGTAGCATTACATTTACCTCTTTAAGTGCTCACAGCTTGCTTAAATTATTATATTAGCTTATGTGTTCATTTGTGTTTATTCTTTTCCAAATTTGTATTCGACGAATTGAAATGCTAATTATATTTCTTTAAAAATAAAGCCACAAATTGTTCAGTAAATAAGTGTTTCATTAAAAAAGAAGACATTTTCAGGTTTTGGTTTCTTCAGGTTCTACTGAAAATGTATCACATTGTGATTTTAAGACCAAGATACATATTTAACCCTAATTTAGGTGTACCATTACACCACCAATATGAAAACAACAAGTTTATGCATATTTGGTATTCTTAAAATTACACGTATAAACTGTTTTCTTACTCCAATTTTCTGCTGATCTTGGTAAACTCCACTAGTCCAGCTTCCATAGGCAGAGTCAGTTCTCCAGCAGCAATCATCAAACGGCAGTCTTCATAAGTGTGGTCTGTGACTGGCAGCTTCAGAGATCTAGTAAACGCACAATAACTTGTGATAAACATATTTACACTGAAATACTTTACTGTGTTTACAATTTAAATGTCTGTGAAATATAATCTCCAATCGAGGCCCAATGAAAATGTATGCTTTATGCTACATTTTATAGTGCATTAAGCATTATTCTAGTCATCTGCTCACAAGAAGGCAAGACTTGTCATATAGATCGCCTATAGAACCACTGACCTAAACCCAACCAATAGTGTTTTCAAAAGCATAAGCAAAAGTGCACTTTGACTGGGTAATTTTAACTTTGATTTGAAAAAAAAGTCGGCCCCACTTTATATTAAGTGTCCTTAATTAAAATGTACTTACACTGAAATTAATCATTCATTACAATGTACTTATTGCGTAAATATATGTTTTTACATTGTTCTTATGCTCGATTGCATACCTGCATGGGATTGCATTAATTTCTGTACATTTATAATTACACTGTTGACCATCCCTTACACGTTAGCCCACCTTTAAACCTACCCATACCACAAAACCTGTTCCTAACCTGACCTGTATCCCACTCTAATATCACCAGGAGGGTTCTGCAATACATAATCAACACATTAAGTTCATCGTATTTATATTTTGAAGTACATAGTAGTCAAGGACATCTACTATAATGTGGGTCCAAAAAGTAATTCTTGTTCAACCGTGTTTCACAGGAATCAAACTCAATACTGTACAACACAAGGAGGCAAATGTATTCGGTTACAATTATGAAGATTGTTATGATGTTTTGTAGTATTCATTTGGTGAAAGTAACCCTTTAGTCATCTATAATATATCCCTGTAAATATTATTATTGTGAAAAGGAACAAATTATATATTGGTGTCATACTGTCCTACAGTGTTCATTTTAAATAGAAACTGCAGTAAAACCTGGAGTATATTGAAGTACGCTTTTGCAGTTACACAAAAATGTAGGCTGAGGCACATATTTCCAATGAGCCTGTGATGATAATTTGATAAACGCGTGGAAGAAACAGCAACATGACATGCTTACTTAGCCATGACAGCTCTCACTGACTGAGCAAACTTCAAAGGACACTTCTTCTCCATTTCTGTAGGTACTTGAGGGGGCAAAAACTAAAACAGACAGAAAGCATATGCTACATGAAAACTTAAGTTAACCATTCATTTTAACAACAACATTGTTCTCCACAGCCTCTCACTGCCCTTTTGACATGTTTTGTCATCAAAAATGCAAAAGAAGAGAATTTTATTATGAAATACACAATTGGTTTCTCACAGACCTCAACCTCCACTGTAGTACAGAGCTGGCAGAGTGTGAGCAGCAGTAGTCTGGCCCTAAAACAGGAACTGGTGGTGAGGCTCCAAACCAACATCACTTCAGGAAGCATTGCTCTCTACATATATGCATAACAGTGCAAGTATGGCATACTAACAAAAGAGCTCTGAAAACAAAGTTTATCTGTAAAAGTCATCTACAACATTGCACACCCACAGATGTCTTTATGTATGAAGAGGGAGATTGCAATCTTCAGGACTTATTTTTTAATATATTATAAAATATAGCTCAATTTTTATTATCTTTAACCTAATAAACCAATGAAACATGTATTTTGGCACACAAAAGCATCACTTGTAACATTATATGCAAGTCTAGTGTTAATCTGAATTGTGGTTACTTCTTGATTGTAATGGTAATTTGCTTTTGTCATTGTAAAACTTTAATATGACTTACGATTTTGGGCCTTGCCATGTCCATGTGACTGTATCCTGTAAGCATTAAACATACAAAGATTTGTAAGAATGGTTCTATTTAATAATAAAAGATGTAACATGTTATTTTGATGATGTCGTTTAGACGTTGTGATAACTAATCAATGGCTTTGTAAACTATATGTCAAATAACAGTCATTACAATACGAATTGACTATCTGCTTAATATCTGCTGACACTGTTTTTTGATGCTCCACCAACATACATTATACTTACTATAAGTAACTTTGCAAATACATCAATTTGTTCTGCGATATTTATATATATAAACACACACACATTATTTTAATTTATTTTATTTTTTAAACATGCATTAGACTAACAGAAAACAGTACTTTTATTACTTTATTATTCCACTTTGGCTATGTGGAAATATAAATTTACATAAACTAGTTTCAAATGAACAATAATATATAAAAATGAAAATGTATATTCTTTGATTTTTAATTGTATAAATTAATTCAAAACTCTAGCAGCCAGAGTGTGTGATACCTGAGCACTGGCAGATCCCAAAGTAATGCAAATGCTACAGGAAGGGTCTCAACAACTATGACTTTCGCTTTGTGGATCCATTCAGGCAGAATAAGCTATTTTGTTGATAAACTTGTCTGGACAGGTTCTGGAACTATCTACCACATTTACATGACTTGTTTAGCCACTGCCCCCTCCTAAAGTCCTCTTAGACTCTTAGTCTGGGTTCATCAATTTCCAACAGCTTCTTTTATTGTTTTCATTTGTAATATAATTATATAAATATTAATTCACTAAGACTACTAGGATAAATACTAATAAAAAAGGCTGACCAAATGATTAAATGAAAAATGTTGTAGTATTCTGATGCAGTGGTGTAAAGTAATGAAGTAACAGTACTTTTACTTAAGCATGACAATTGAGTACTTTTCCACCACTGCTTTGATAAGTGTTAGTTGACATATAATTACATTGTTACATTGTCAAAACAATGTCTAAACCCGTAGTGTAACCTTTAAAATGTATGAAAGCTATAAGCAATAAGCTATTTACAAAAAAAAAAAAAAAAAAAAAAAAAAAAGAAGAGAACTCAACAGGCAGACTTGGCATACAACTTTGCCAGCCAACCTGATGTTTTTAAATGTTTGTTTGTTTTTTGGGTCAATCTTCAGTACTCTCTATTTGGATTTTATGGTTATTTATGGAGTTGTATTTTACATATTTGCAAATATCTTGAGTTATTCCATTGTGTTTGCTTTTATCACTAGTAACTGATGTGTCAAGATAATATTGTAAGGCTTCCGATGAATTTGTACTGACCAGCTTATTTGGGTATCTGATAAGAACAGGCTGCACTGGGACCCCAGGGACAAAGCCACCTGTGGGAGTAAAAAGAGCCAAACATAAGCGCCTTCCATTCATCCTATTGTTCTTTTTAGCTACATTCATACATTCTAAAAGCAGCTCTGTACACAGTTCAATTTACCTTATTCTGGGTCACATGCCTCATGATGAAGTTAAGTTCCAATCTAACACTCTATTGATCACAGCATGCTCTACATATCAGGTCACATCTAGAAAACTGTTTGATAATCATTGACTGTCCAAATGAGAACCAAAGTAAACGTTGTACTAATGATATGACCTGAATATAAAACAAATCCATAGTTTTTACATAATACAACAATTACCAAACACTCTGACCTGCTTAATTATTGGAGCCTATAATGCAAATAGATTTGCTCTTTAGGATATGTTTAAATAAATGTCAGATACTCAAAGGGATAAAGACTTAGTGGTGTGGATTATACCTATTCATTGGCACAAACACTCGCTCTCTTTCATGCTGCTGCTTTTTGCTGGTCTCACCACACTCATTCTTGTTTCTTTAGTACACAAAAAACAAACCCCAGGCACAGAAAACTCCTAAATCCATGATCATTTCTGTTGCTTTTCTTGTGCATGTATTTGCATTATGAAAATAAGTTAACTGATACCAAACAACTAGATTTTCATATGGCGCAGTTCATAAACAAAATTCCTAACCTACTGAATTATAGACTTTAATTCGAAATTGTGTTTCTAACATCTCAGTCAAACCCAAATAATGAATTTTCCATGTTATTTTGTGCAACATCATAATTAAAGTTTTGTTGTGCATAAAAACACACAAAACATGCTCAGCTAACCTTGCTTGAAGGTAATAAGACATGATCTGTTTGTACATGTTCCTTCAGGAAAGATGAGCACCTGAAACAAGAAAATAACAGCAGTGATATTTTCAGTGCAAGCACAGCTGTCATGCAAAAAACAAGATCTTTATTAACATCTAGTTTCAGATAGAGCTCAATTAGATTTATTCAAAAATACATCTTCACAGCATTGACAAGCAAGCAGTTTTTTTGGAGCATGAGGATGAGGAAGTTTTAAAAGTTGATGAACACACTTAGTCTGTCACTTTGGTTTCACATATTGTGAAATTCACTTAAGATACTGTGAAAGGTTTAACCTTTTTAAACTTTTAAACTAATGTTGCAATTTTGTGGTGTTCCAGGCATTTAGAGTTGGTGCTTGATCGGATATGGTTGTGGCCAGAAGAATAACGAGAATAATTCATATTATTTATAAAATTTCTGATTTATTGTATTGTATTCACGTCTATCCCTACCCCTAAGCCCAACCATCAGAGTAAGGTAAAAAACAGTAGTTGTACAGAGTACTATTTATGCTGTCTATTAAATTACCCAATAAATTGCATTTTTTTAATATCTGCCCCCACCCCAACCCTAAATTCAACCGTCTCGATACTGTAAAAAATATGAATTCTTGCTATAGAGTGTCATAAAAAAATGCTTCTATATTAATGGGCATATCAAACTTCCGGAGGGCCACGTATCCGTTGTAGACTTTACTGATATATAGGGGCAGATTTAGTCTTAGATCAGACAAGAAGCACTGCATTCAATTCCATTTCTACCCGCCATGTCTTTAAAATATAACAGTTTGTTTTACCCCATTAGGCTTTCTGCGGAAGTTTATTATTGGCTTTAAAACTCTAGCTGTGCATAAAGCCCATTGTATCATTTGCTCTGCTTTGTGTTGATTATTGGTCATTCTTGATTCTGAACTATCCCAAAACATTTCCACTCTAACTGGCACCGTCATGGTGTTGCACTCTGTCCCGTTTGGTGAATGTTGTTCTTAGGATGTTAGATGTGGTGGCTCTCACCTGTGGCCAGTGTCCTGCTGACTTGGCTCTCCTTTCAATCTCAATGATAGTGTTTCTACGAGAGTCTGGATCAGTGCGTGATACCAGCACAGGTTGCACACAACGCAAAAACCCTAGGGAGCATAAAATTCCTTTAATCATCAATAATTCCATGTGCAAAACTTACATAATTGATATTTAACAACTAGCTCATTTATTCATTTTCTTTTCAGATTAGTACCTTTATTAATAAGGGTTAACCACAGCGGAATAAACCGCCAACGTTTCCAGCAAAAGTTTTATGCAGCCCCTTTCCAGCCGCAACCCAACACTGGGAAACACTCATACATTTTTGCATTCACACACATACACTACGGCCTATTTAGCTTATTCAATTTACCTATAGCACATGTCTTTGGACTGTGGGGGAAACTGGAGCACCCAGAGGAAACTCATGCCAACAAGGGGAGAACATGCAAACTCCACACAGAAATGCCATCTGACCCAGTTTGTTGTGAGGCGATTGTGCTACCCACTGCACCACCGTGACGCCCCAAACTAATCAATGAGTCTATATATTAAAGAGGTAGTTCACCCAAAAATGTAAATACGTATGCAGGCTATTCAAGATTTAGGAGACTTGCTTTCTGTCAGTAGAACATTAAAAAAAAATTCTATCAGAAATTGTAGACCTTGGTGAAGCTTTGTGGACCTTGGTGAACCTTTGTAAGTTATAAAATGGAAGACAATGGTCGACATCTTTTTGAAAGTCAAAAAAGCATATATACTGTAAAGCAAAACAAAAATAGTCCCCATCTGGAATGACATACAATATGTGCAGGTATACAGCAGAGAGGACACATGTTGTGTTGTTCATTCAAATAATACATATTTGTGCTTATCCTAGATGTTTCAACTTACGTAAGAGGGTAAGATTGTTTATGTGTGTGATTGTTATCTTTAGATATAGATTTTTAGAAACAGATTTTTATATATAAAAAACTTCTTAAAATTATTTGCCATTTTATTATTTTTGGAATTTGCTTACTGCCAAAGATTGGTGCTTCTAGAGACTCTATGCGGGATACGGTAGAAGGCAGACCGGATTCAATACAGGCGATGGCATCAAAGAACGAAGAGTGGGGGGCCACAGCTAGAATGGGGGCCTCTAAAGTGCTGGCCTTCTTCCCCTTCACCACTACCTTGAAGCCCATCCCAAAGAAATACATTCGGCCAAGAAAGGTCATCACTCTTCTGTGCAGAAACCTGCCCATAAGTACATATTCAAGCACAAAACATACTTAGTGATAGTACTAGTTAATCCAACATCCTGCCACACGTGCGCGCACACACACACACACAGAGAGAGAGAGAGAGAGAGAGAGAGAGAGAGAGAGAGGAGACATAATGCTTGCTTTGAGACGTTGTGCTCATCAATGTGTCAGATCAGTATGTTGTTGCATCAGTTAACAGAATAACCACATCCCTCCTACAGTCGTTCTGCCTGCTATGCTACAATTTAATTAATCTGATCAGTGTGGTCAGTCCTAGGAAAAAACGAGATACTAAATGAGCTGTTGAACAAGAAACCAGGTGACCAATCAGACTGAAAAGCATGAATTAAAGACTGGAGAGGCTTCTGTAATGCACCAAATATCTGCAACCGCTGATATGCAAACCCCAAATTTCACATTACCAGCTCACACTTCTATTATTAATTTAGAAACTCCCACAGTCAGAAGGCCTACTAAATGCATAACTATTCATTCTAAGAATAAAAAAAGGTAGCAAAAGATGGTTGACATAGTCAGTTTAGATGTAAAGCTATCTGTAAGATTAAGTTTTAAGGTGTTTTGATGTCAGGTTTATTTATCAGGTCAAGAGTATTGTGTTTCATTATGGTTCAAACAAGCTGTAAGCCAAAAGATGGTGTAATGCGAGTGATCAGGGAGTGGTATTTACCTTCTCCAGCCAGTCATGGGCTCCACCACTCCTTTCAGAGACTGTCCGAATGTTATTATGACAGAAACAGGCCACATGACCATGAGAACTAGAAGCAAGAAAATGGCACGGAGCGGCACAAGGATAATTCCTAGAAGAAAACACTTCACAAAGCACAAAACACATAATAAATGGCGAACACAAATCTGCACACTGCAAATCAACTTTCACTGTTTTTATTTGAGGAATCTGGTGTAACATTGGAGAAGTGACTCAACATAAAAGACTGTTAAACTTTGTAGTAAACTGCACTAAAATTGCATGATGACAGCAAGGTGTTACTTTAACTTATTAAAAAGGCCAAGTGTGTTTCAAGTTATGCAGGTAAATTTAATGTAATGCAATTTAAAATTTTACAAAGTTAATACATTTCCAAAGTTTGTAAGGCTGTCAAGCAAATGCGTAACATTTTGTACCTGTCGCAAGAGAGGAAGTGTTACAATAAGTTTAAATGAAATAGTAAGAAATAAATTGCAACTACCTTCAATCTTAGCATGGCATTATTATAAATGAAATATCTAGTTTATATTTTATCTATTGTAAAATACACGTACAATCACATCAATAAGAATATATTAATAAAATCAAAGTAATATAAATTACAGGCATTTAAAGAAAGACGGTCTTGTTTAAAAATGTTGTTGAACAAGTGTGGCTTTCAGGTCAAAACCACTGACCAAGCAGAGGTCTTGACCTTCTTTATTGTAAAGCCATAAATCAATAATTTCCTACATAATCTACTGTATTCACATTCGACTCCTCTGAACTACAACACAAAAAACAAACAAAAAAGAATTTTAATGACCAGAAGTTTACATTTACACTATTCTCTCTACCACATGCTGTAAAGAATGTTAAATCATTACTAACGCTACCTGCAACACTGTTTACAAATGTAACATCTATTCAACAAGCATCTACTCTTTCTACAGCACAGAGGGAGTGTAACAAATGTAACATTTTATCAATTTGAAACAAAGTATTAACATTTCTGAGCCCTTCTCTGTTCAAACCTACTTCCAGTCACTGTAGAGCTCGCAATTCTAACGGAGGAAGTTACTATTATGTAAATATTACACAATACTAGAGAAACACATGGAAATAAATTATTAGTCAAATCAAATAAGATGTCGATGCATGAATAGCAAGCTCATATGATGGCCTTAAAAATAAAAATCTTACCTGAAAACAAAAGTTATGCAATGCTTTATATTATCTTTTTAAAATATAGCTCAATTAAAGAAACTTATAATCCTAAAATAAAATAAAAAAATAAAATAAATAAATAAATAAATATGTATAGTCAGCCGTCAGTCGTAACGGACAATGCAATGCAAAAAAAATAAATATCTGGTGCAGACATATTAAATCAATTAATAAAATAAAGTATTCATGAAATAGGTAACATTAGTGGCTGTTTTCCTTTAAAATGAAAAAGTAAGATATTGGCGTGTTATCCATGCCAAATGTCAACCGATTTCCACGGTATAAGATATTTAATTTTATTTAATTGTTTACACAAAATCTGACAATAAATGTGACACACCCAGATCACTTTTCTGTCTAATAATACATAGACGACATACATACAAAATCTGACAATAAATTTGGCACACCCAGACTTTCCTTTCTGGCTTATCTAGTGCTGGACTCACTTTGGTTATGTCGGCTGTGCTTAAGCTCAGGTCGTGCACGAACGGGTTGATGACCGCGGGCAGCAGCAGGGACTGTTGTCTGGGCAGCGCGAATACTCTGTGCGGCGGAGGCATCTTCACTCATCGCAGCCTGTCTTCATGTGCCCAGACCTCAGGGAGCGACGCGCTTCCTCGTTATGACTCGTGTTTCACAATCAAACAAGCTACCTAACCAGAAAACAAACGGCTCTTATTTACAGGAGCTTGAGCAATGCAGTGCATCCCAGTCGAGTTTGGAGTCGAGGTTTACGAGCACTTGTTCTAAACTGCTGTCTAAGCAGGCAGCTCAGGGGGTTTGAAGACAAAGCCAGTTCACACTCCACCTCTTACGGACATAATCCTATTTAGCCGTTTAGTAGCCATATGGGGCTAAAGTTATACACTCGTAATGTTAGTTATTTTCTAGCGTAACGTTACAGGTTTACAGCTTGAACTAGTGGAGACGCTGGACTCTTTTTTTAACTGGAAAAACACACCCTTATGAAAATTGATAATACATTGTCTAACATGGGAGTCTACCGAGTTGAGAAATAGTCTGTCCATACTTGAGCTAACAGTTTAGTTATTCCCGAGCACCGATGCCCGATTTAAGAATGACTCATTTGAGTCGATTCTTTTCAATGGGCTGAACAAAAGTTATGATCAAATCAGTTCGAACACTCAAATCGGTTCTTCACAGTCATGTTTAAGAAGTACAGAGGTCAAAAAGGCGGAAAATTCAGCAAAAGTGTACACTTGGTACATACTAAATCCACATTTTAAACAGTGCAGCTAAAAAAACTTTTCTAATTCCAACAAAGAGTATTATGAAAGTATTTAAAGAAGGGAGGGAAAAGAAAAAAGAAAAAAATGCACTTGTGCACGGCAAAAAAAGAAAAAAAAACGCTTTTCTTAGACTTTTTGTCTTGTTTATAGTCCAAATATCTATAAATTCCTAAATCGAGAAACCTTTTCTACACAAGTAAAAAAGATTGTCTCGTTTTTCTTAAAACAAACAAAATAATCTGCTAATGGGGTAAGCAAAATAATCTTATGTCAGAAGGCAAAACAAGATTATGTTACTTACTACATTGGCAGATTGTTTTGCTTGTTTTAAGGAAGAACTCGCTTAGTTTTGTCATCTTTTTTACTTGGCTAGAAAATGCATCTTGGATTAAGAATGTTTAGATATTTGGGCTAGAAACAAGCCAAGACAAGTATTTTTTTTTTTTTTTTTTTGCAGTGTTGGTGGGGGATTGAGACGAGACCACTTTATATTTGATATTTGATTAAAATTATATTTTGTGTTTTATAACTATTTCATTAACTAATCGTAACCTGTTTCGATATTTCAAGTAATTTAAAATGATAATTTTAAATATTTATTTGCGGAAAATATCAAGTTTGATATAAAATGCTCCACTTTTTCATACCTCAAATGTTATAAAATATATTTATGTACACTATATATGCAATATACAGTATTGGATATTTCAGACCTGAAAAGGACATATACATTTACTTATTGATCTATTGTTCTTTATTTTCTGCAAATAAATGCTCTACATAATATTCCTACCTGAAATTATGAAGACACGTTATCACACTGTAAAAAAAAATCCTGGTTTCCTTAAATTTTAAGTTGAATCAAATTAACCTTATGAGTCCATTGAACTTATATTGTTAAACTGACTTAAAACAGCTTGCGTGACTTATAAAATTAAGCTAGAACATTAAGTAATGAACTAAAAACATATCATTTTTTACAGTGCAGTAGTTGTAAAACAAAACACTAAAGGCAAATAGCGAAAACGTTATCTTAACAGCTTTGTAGTGGTCTTCATTTTTTGGAAGGGGGCAGTAGAACTGCTTTTTTTTGGTACAATGAACCACACGATGTCGCTGTTTGCCTTGATGAGACATCTGAGAACCTGCAAAATACCAAGTTTCTCAAAACTGTTTAGAAAATCAAAAGTTAGAACTCAATATTAAGGATAATTATTATTTATTTTGAAACATAGTGACAAAGTGCACAAAGCATATAGAAAATAATAAAAATAAACATTACAAATATAAACAGATTGCATGTCAATTAGAAAACTACAAAAAGAAATAATAAAAAAAAGAGTACAAATGATTATTAATAATCAGCTTTTCATGATACTTGCTTGACATGAGTCCATCATGCAACAAACCCTATACAGTCTTCAGGCAGCCCGTGCCATGAATCTCTCTGTACCATGAGGTGAAAGAAACAAACATAAAATCATCTGCTTTGACAGTTGTTTGGTCTCTGTTTGTATACATTTGTCATGTATAAAATGCACCCTTTTATTAAATGCAGGAATGTTTATTGGATAGTATTTACTACGAAATAGAACATGAATTAAGTCCCTAATCTTTTTCATATCAGTACTAGCAAAACATTACATTGTGCTTTTTTACATACTGCCTGGATTCAGTTATTCTGTGCAAATAAAAAAAGGAGATATATCTCACTGACACACTTTACATGTACGTGAGAAATGTCAGAAGCCTTTTTAAGTCTGATGATATACATGTAAGGTTATAGTAAGGAGTGCACTAAACCCTTTCATATTTAAAAATAAAGAAAAATATCGCACATTACAACAAAACATTTAAAATGACAGTCCTGTTTGCTTACTGTGGGTCCAGGCAGTGAAGCTTACCAGGCCTCTCTGGTTAGTAAAAAAGGGTTATAATCTAAGAGGCTCTGACTAACCAAGAGGGGCTGAATGGTAAATTTGAGTGCTGTCATTTCTGGCCATTTTTATTGAGTGTTGAAGGGCATAGAGCTGAATGGTCTGTCGATGTTCAGCAGCGCAGCCAGTCCTTTTTGACCTCGCCGACTTTGATAATTTTCAGAGTGCTGTCATCCATTTTGAGATAGTGTGAGTCTTTGAAGAAGTAGCTGTGACCTAAAAACAGTTCATACGTGTTAATACCACATAAAAACTTCAACATCAATGAAAACACATAAACCTGTACAGAGGTTTAGGGGATTTTTTAAAAAATATTAAAGTGTGAATCTTTTTTAAATATGACATTTTTTAAATACTGTTGCTGTTGCCTTTCTATCAGCTTGAACCAGTCTGGCCATTCTTCTCTGACCGCTGGCATCAAAAGGGCATTTGCTCCCACAGAACTGCTGCTCACTGGATATTTTTCTTTTTCAGGCCATTCTTTGTAAACCCTAGAGATTGTTGTGCATGAAAACCCAAGTAGATCAGCAGCTTATGAAATACTCAGACCAGCCCATCTGACACCAACAACCATATCATGTTCAAAGTCCCTTAAATCACCTTTCTTCCCCATTCTGATGCTTAGTTTGAACTGCAGCAGATCAACCTGACGATGTCTACATGCCTAAATGTGTTGAGTTGCTGCCATGTGACTGTCTGATCAGAAATTTGCATTAACGAGCAGTTGGACATGTGTACCTAATAAAGTGGCTGGTAAGTGTAGGCAACATAGTTATTTAGTGTTTGCTTTGGTTTGGCATTTGTAGGGTAAATGCTGGTGAATCATTCCTGCAATACAAGCGAATTTTCATCAGCCAGTTTTCCAGATTTCAGTACCACAAAATCTTATATGTTGATTTGGTACTGCTTAATTTATTTACAATGCTTTACTAGTACTTTTCATCATTTTAAAGTGGCATTTCTAAATGTAATTTTTTTAAACTTACTGTAATACACTTGATCAATGTGCAGTGGCGTTACTGAATATTTTATTACTTTTACCAAAGTACTTTTGATGCAGTGGCATCGCTGATTATTTTTAAAATCTTATTGCAGTACTTTTAATGAATTTACACATTGCACATTGCAATTATTATTATTTTTTTAACTGTAGTACTTTTGATCAATTTGCAGTGGCATTGCTAAATATTTATTTTTGTTTTATGGTAAAAAAAAAACATCATGAAAAGACATAACTGAGGTAAATTATGATGTCAATTTAACACTAAATAATGATGTCAATTTAAAACTGGTTAACCACTGCTTCTATGATCTATTTATCTGAAACTTTTTGAAGCATGATTTTTTTCAGAAACCAGAGAGTTTGTTCTTGCTTGTTCAGCTTGCTTGTACACACACAGAGGAACCTTTCAGACATCACACAGGCCTGCTCTATGAGGTGTGTGTGTGTGTGTGTGTGTGTGTGTGTGTGTGTACCTGTAAGAGTGTAAAGTAAATGTGTTAGTGACGGAAGGAAAGAGCTGGGTGGTTGTGAAAACATGTATGTTAAGTAAATTCCCGTAAAGCTAAACGAAACCAGAGCACCTAGCGTAAAAATTGCGTAATAAGTCTTTTACCCCCTTTCTTTTCAGCTTTACTCTTATGTAGAGTTTTATGTGCTTTTCAGACTGGAAAAAACTCCTCATCTTGAGCAGGGGGAAGCATATAGCTGTTTTTTTTGTTGGTGCTGAAGGCTTAATGCCAGCTGTAATTGGGATGGAGTTAAGTGCCAAGAATCCTCTACCAGGCTCCACTTTGCTCTGATACACATACAGGAACACTGTGGACTACACTGTGAATGTTACTAAAACAAATCAGATATGTATGTCCAAACTAACAGAATGTAGGAGAGAAAGAGGAAAGGAATGAGACAAAAGGTTGTTTAAGGTTAGAGGTTAAAATGGTTACTTTAATTTTTTTTAAAACAATTTAGACATTCTGTTAGTGCCTTTGCAACTACCGCCAATATACTAATAACAGAGTATTAATAAACTGTTAGGTTAGGGATAGTAAATCAAGTTAATGTATTTGTAAAGTTACTTTGAGTCAGCAGAATGTTTAATATTCAGGCAGTGTTTCTCAACTGGTGGCTCACCTCAGGAAAAAACTAAAAACGTTTCCTGACTTGTCAGCTCTAAGCATGCACTCTTCAATTGTATGTGAAAAGGAGGCAACAAATGTATAAAGTATTTCTTCATTATAAATAAAACAAAAATTATGAGGATGCAACTTTGCAGTCATGCATTCACTTAGTAAGAAGAAATTACCAAAAAGTATCAATAAATTGTAAAATATTTACTCTTTTAATCATGAGCGGTTTCTGTATGTTTCATTACAACCTTGCATTGATGTTGTGTACTTAACTTGCTGCTTTAATCACCCCGAAATTGAACATTATTTTAATTTTATTTGCATAAGTTTGTTTGTTTTTAAACATTTTTGGCTCATACCAACAAAAACTAGTTCTTCAGTATTAGTCATATAAAATGCTGCGTTCCACACAATTTATTCATGTTGTCCCAACACAAATCCGTTTTTCATTCATTCATTTTTTATTTTCCTTTGGCTTAGTCCCTTATTTATCTGGGGTTGCCACAGCGGAATGAACCGTCAACTATTCTGGCATATGTTTTGAAACTAAATACTGGAAAACACCCGTATACTCTCGCATTCACACATTTTAGCCCATTCATTTTATCCCATTCACCTATATTGCATGTCTTTGGACCGGAGGAAACCCAAACGAACACGAGGAGAACATGCAAACTCCACACAGAAATGCCAACTGGCCCAGCTAGGACTCGAACCAGCAACCTTTTTGCTGTGAGGCAACAGTGCTAACTACTGAACCACCATGCCGCCCACAAATTGATTAAGTGAACTTAATTATTTTACAAATTTAAGTGGATTGAACATAAAACATTTAAGTTGTCCCAGAAAAACTCAAAAATTGTGTTGATTCAACTCATTTTAAATAAGTAGTTTTAGCAAGCAGCAAAAAATAGTTTTTTAGGTGTACTTTAAATTTATTATAAAGTGGGATGATACTTGTATGAAAAAACTTTTTGTGATGTAAATAATGTAAGCTTGTTTTTTATAGAAATATTTTACATTGTTTAAGAACTGGTCAAAATAAACAAAACAAAACTGAATATAGTTTTGGATAGAGTAGATTGACTGTAAAGTTAATAATAATCTACTGTCAAGTTTTCAATGACTATTACTAGACTAAAATACTTTAGTTTTTCTTTAGACTAACCCTATGATGAAAACTAAACTAAAACTAACAGGGACCTGGAAACACGAGACCAAGACTAAAAATGAAAATAGTTGACAAAATAGTTGAGGCTAAATCACCATAGAAAACTGCTTCTAACCTGAGAACTAACAACTGCTAGTTGTCATAAATGCAAAGTGACTTAAGTTCAATAGACTTTCTAAAAGTGTCTCCTATTTGTAAAGAAATAGCACAGACAAAAATACATCTGCAGCCAAGCAACTTAGTCATTTGTCACTTACCATCACCATTAAGGCTAAGTGCACCATCTAGGTCATCGGGAACAGCAGTCCAAGAATCTGCGATAATTTTAGGGAAGCCTGGATCCATCTTTTTCTTGGCTTCATTGTATCTGAGGAAAGAAGTGAGCATTTACACATCAGGATCAACACATTTCTACTTTTTCATATTTATGAAATTCCCAGACACACTTTCAGTAGGCGTGCAGTTTTAAAGTATGTGTAAACTCCAATAAATCTCAGTGAAATGAAACTGTTCAAAGACTTTCCAAGAATTTTGGTATGAAGAATATTCGTTGAATCTTTGGGAATGTTATTCCAAAGCTAAAGCTTCCTATAACTTTAAATAATTAATAATAAATTTGTGGAACTTAAGAAAAAATCGTTAAATCACAATGAACACATACATTATTAGGTTCAATTATTTTAAGATATTTACCTCCAGAACTTGTTCCCAGCAAATATGTAAGTCTTCTTGGTCTTGTGGAAGGAGTAAGCAGCATCAATCCCATGTAAATCTGAAGGAAGACCCATGCTGGAGATTTTCTTGGGATATTCTCTTTCCAGGGTACTGGCAGAATATACCCACATCTCATCACCTACAAAAGCAAAAAGTTTAATACACATTTCTGTTGGAGGACACGTGCAAAGACAAATTCATTTCTACAATATTTTTAAACAAAAATCAAAACCTTGCTTCCTCATATACACTACTGATAAATAAAGGTTTTATGCATATGAGAAATTGGGAGGAACACAGACAAATCTTCATTGTCCAATGGCAATAAATATTAAATCCCATAAACACAGGGTGGAAAATAGGTAATACGTAAAACAACAGCTGTAAAAATAAGTAACATTTAGCAATTTCAAGTAATTTACTAGTGTTTACATGTACTTATGCACATTTTAAAATCTTGCATTTAATTTATTTATTTAAATGCATTTATGTTCTATGTGCACAGGATTTTTGCATATACATATCGTGTAAATGAATGTTATTTATTATAAATTATTATTAGCAGTGATTGGTCATGATTTCATTTCAAAGTAATTAAGTTTACTACATCCTGTATGATGCCTGATAAAGGTCATGTGAACGAACGTTGTTATTAAATTTGATATTTTTGCAAATTGGGGTAGTGAACAGGATTTGCTTATTTGCTTTTTCAGAATATTGCATACACATAGTGGTTTGAAACCTAGATGTGCATACATTTTAGAGATGCACTTTAAAAATGCATACTCTCAATTTATTCAGACAATTTTTTATGCAATAAGCACATGTCCCAAAACTAAGACGAAATCACATTAATCAAATACATTTCCTGATGTACAACAAAAAAAGTAATGTGATTTTACAGAATATGTGATTGTATAACTGGTATGACTGTCTCACATAAAAAGTTCATAAAAATCAGACACTGCCTCCAAACTCAAGATAACACTACAGAGTGTGTTATTGCGCGTGCATGTGCAAACTCGGTTACTGTGGAGAAAAAAAAAAAACAGAAACTAAAAGAGCCAAAGTGGTTTCCAGTGATTTGTGTTATCAATATATTACAGTAATTTCCAAGGAAGTGACAATTGTACTCTCATAAACATACAACATGCCTTTTTTCCGCTACATCCCTTTTACATTTAAAATCATTGATATCAATACTTTAGGTATTTAGGTCAAGGGTTTAATACCTCTAAAATGTTCTGTTATACCATTTCTAAGGTATATGTAAGTGTTTTTTAATGTATTTATGTGTTGTAAAGAAATCAATATTTTTGAAACTAATGAAGAGAGCAGAAGTCTATGATTTATTTAAATTATTTAGCCTGACATGTTTACTGCTCCAAAATATATAAATGTTTTCTAAAATAAAATAAATTGTGTTCAATGAGGATTTTTTAAAATATTTTTTATTTAAAGACATTTAAAAAGAATATTATTTTATCACAATACTGTGATACCATGAAACCAAGGTATTATTTTCCAAGGTTATCATACCGTCAGAAACTTATACCAGCTCGTGCCTAAAAGGCATTGTCAAGACTTATTCATCACAAGATTTAATCCATACCAGGTCGTAAAAAATACATATTCTTTTCTTCACCTTTAAAGGGCACCTATTTTGCCTCTTTTTACAAGATTTAAAATATGTCTCTGATGTGCCTAAGTGTGGGTGTGAAGTTTCAGCTCAAAATAATTCACAAATATTTTTTATGAATCTTTAAAACTGCCCCTTTTAGACTGATCCAAATTGTTCCATGCTGGTGGGCGGAGCTACAAACACCTATGTGTTAGCATAGAGGCAAATTTAAAACAGGACTAATGTTATTTTTGTGAAAAAAAGAGCCTCAGAAGATGGTCATCTATGGAGACTCTGATGTTAATTTGTGTATCCTAAAACAGCACATTTATAATAGCTCTTAGTCACTGACATAATCTTCAGCAGGAACAGTGTGAAAACTCTAATGGTGGATGGCTACTTCTAATTCAGGGCTGTCAATGCTTATGGGGCAGAGATCGTCACTAATGGGTGGGGTTTTCTGCCTCTGATGACATGTACAAAGGGAGAATGTCAATCAACGTGTTTCTTGCAGACTATTTTTATTAAGGGTGATTATATTAAATCAAATTAATGAAATTATCCAATTCGAGGCTGGCTATATTCACACAATCTTGCTACACAAATGTGTTTTAAACAATTTTGCATGATATGTTCCCTTTAACATTGTTCATCTCAAATTAGTATTAGTACAGAAAATACTAAGAGCAAGGGCGTACTCACACTATGCTATCCGAACCATGCCCGGGCCCGTTTCCCAGATCGTTTGAGAAGTGTGAGTGTGCTAATTCGGGCTCAGGTACGATTCACTTGGCTGGCCCTGGTCCAGTTGGAAGAGGTGTGCCTGAGCGCGGTTCACGCGGGCTTTGGCGCGGTACGCTTGTGTGTGAGTGCAAATGCACCATAGCCCAAAACTGAAAGCAAGACATGACTTTTAAAGGACTGTTTCATATGGACTTATCAATTATTCCTACCGTTCAATGAATGCAAACTGTCGAAGTTTATTAAAGATACGAACTCCTCATAGCTGCACCTTCAGCAAACCTCCTAATTCCTGCAGCACGAGGACTTTATGACTGTTCATGAGCGTTAAAAGTGGCTTATCTTTTCGGCGAAATATTTGACTGTATGCCACCGCATCCCAAACGACTAAAACAATATAACTAGAGAAATCTCCACTGTGCTGAGCGAGAGGGCTTCTCTACAGAACAGTGCATAATCACGAGGGGGGACAAGCGTGCTTTGGCCCGGTTCAAGGCCACTGTACATAGTGTGAGTACGCCCTATTATCATTATATTTAAACCTGAAAAAAAGTGTCACACCAGGTTCTTTTTTTCTGCCCTTGGGAAAATAAGGAGCATACTGTAGCTTACCAGCAAAAAAGACAGTCCTCTCTTCCAGAGGGTTTTCATAAGCTGCATCAATTTTCTCCGGTAGTTCACTCCAGAACGTGGCAACCAGCATGGGGCCTGTCGGCTTTTTCCTGACATCAGCCGTCCTAAAGAGGAATCTATAAAAATAGGGGTTAAAGTTAGGCAGGCAAAAAAATATTGGCAACAATATGAATGCGCACATAAAAAGGTAAATGGAGAAGAGTAAAAAAGGGGAAAGAGAGAGATAATCAAGTGAGAGAGAGCATGCGTCGCACTCGAGCTACAATGAGGTGATTCACTGACCAGATGTTTCTTATTATGGTTTGAGGAGTGAGTTAAGAGGCAGTTGGACATGTCCAAACTTGCCTGCTGCCCCAGAACAAACCACAAAAACAATACCAACCACCCCAGACCTCTTTCCACTGACCTATTTTTCAAAAGGCCAAAACTTTTCAGAAGGCAGAGATCTTTCAAGAGACTACAGCTCAAGCTTCTGTCAGCAGTTTTTTTCCAACTTAAAGGGATAGTTCACCCAAATATGAAAAAACTCACTATATCCTCTCTCTCTCTCTCTCTCTCAAGTAAGTTTAAACCTTTATGTATTTCTTTATTTTGTTAAAGACTAAAGAAGATATTTTGAAAAAAATCAGTAACCATTGACTTCCATGGTAGAAAAAACTAATTCTACAGAAGACAATGGTTACAGGTTTCCAGCTTTCTTCAAAATATCGTCTTTTGTGTTCAACAGAAAAAAGAAAGTCAGATTTTGAAACAAGTGAAGGATGTTTATATGACAGTATATTATAACAGAATTTTAAGTTACTATGCCTTTAAGATTACCACATTAGGTTAGAGTTGAACTGTAATGAAACATTATGCCCCAAAGCTTCACTTCTTGAGCTGCAAACCTTTCAGAACCTCCCTCCCTTCAGCCTTTGCAATTAAACATGTTATAACAGCACATACTAAAATACTAGTCGAGTTCAGTTCTTATTTGCAGCTGTCCTGTAAACGAACCAATATGAGACAGAAGAAGAATTCATTTTATCAAATGCCTCAGATGTGCCTTATAAATCTGAGCCAACGATTAGATAAAATAAAGACTTTCTGCTGCAGCTGAATAAACAAAACATTAGTGAACCTTTTGGGGGTGAGCTCTCTCTGGCCTTACTCTACTCTCTTTTTTCCTCCATTTTCTCTGTGAAATGGCTTTAACAGCTGTCGCATTCATCCAGCTGGGTGAATATCTGAGATCTGGAGTCATTTTGCCCACACAGTAAAGTGAGACCTGCAGCTTCAGGGATCCTCAGATTCACAGAATTACACTGTAATTTGATCATAACTCTGTGATAATGACATTTCCACTGCTTCGACTCTCAGCTTGCACAGGCAAATAATATCCATCAGCGAAAATATGGAGAGACGTTCTGGCAGATTGAGTTTTAGGTCAAACTCCCGTAGGAACAAAACATAAGAGATCCAGCATATTAATATTATAGCAATAATTTACAAGTGCATTGTAGGTTATTGTGATTTTTTTGGTTATACATCTAGAAATCTGAATGTCTCCAGATCAAATACCAATAAAGATTACATTAGATTACATTTTAAGTGGTAAAAATAACTAACTAAATAAAGAATAAAAAGATTTCTGAAAAAAAGAATGTGAGATGAGGAAAATGTTACTAAAAATCCGATTCTCTTGAAAAATAGGAGAGCAAAGATAATGGAAATGACAGGCAAAAACAAAAGCACTGATGTTTGCGTGTGTATGCGTGTATTTATACAGTTATATGAATCAAAACAAATAAAGTGTAATGCAATTTTTATACAGTGAAAATAAAAAATGTGAGATATTTTTACCAAGTGTAATATCCTAAAACTTAGTATGACCACTTGATGTTTTAAATATTTAATAACTTGATCTGGACCTCTGAATCAGTTTTTCAAGGTGCTCATGGTGAGAGAATATAAGAGCTCTCTAAACAAGACACAGGAATGCACTTACAACCAGCATACAGTGTGTGTGTGTGTGTGTCTGTGTGTGTGTCTGTGTGTGGTCCTCCTGAGATGATCTCTTTGGCCAGCAAACCGAAGGTGTATGCAGGAAAGGCTGGCTCTTATTCATTCAAGAGCTTCTGGTGAAAACCAATGACAGCACTCTTTATACTCGCCTTACAGTATATTTGCTCTGGACACTACTCCAAAATATTCAAATGTTTGACACTTCTCTAAATAGTATGTGTGGAGCATATTGCATTTGAAAAAGAATGTAATGTTAATTTAAATCAAACAATAAATTACATGTAAATATATAAAATGCAAATGAATTTACTTAGTTTCTTGGGTATCCACATTATAAGAGGGTTAATTCTAGCAATTTAAAGGGACAGTTCACAAAAAAAATTGCAAAGAGTCAATCGGCCATAATGCACCTGCACTGATTAAGTGGCTCTGAAGAGATACATGCATGAGAGAGAGAGAGAGAGAGAGAGAGAGAGAGAGAGAGAGAGAGAGAATCCATTGGATATACACACATTTCAATCGTATACCACTCCAAACACTTGTTTTTCTGGCAATAAACAAGTACCGAATCATGCCACGAGAACCAAACTGGTTATTTTTTTAAATCTTTTTATGAACTGTCCTATCCCCAGTAAATAGTGAGTAAATAAAAATTGGGTGAAATATCCCTTAAAGTAATATAGTTGCTTAATATATAGGGCACTACACAAGAGAGTGGGTGCAGTTTCACGGTTTTAGGCGAATCATTTGTTACAATAATCTTTAAGGGTTAAATTTACTAGGTGAAAATATATAAAAATATATTCCTCCTATAGGACAATGCTTTCAAAAAGTCTGTAGCAAATGTCAGTGCAAATGTCAGCGAATTTAGACTCCCGTTAAATATTCCCAGTTAAAATTATTCAGAGACAAACTATGAGCTCAAAGGACTAAAAAAATGCCCCTGATATGGTAATGTCTGTGCTGAGGTATTTTGTTTTTGTAAAGTGGGATCAGATTTGTGGACTTTCCCTTCTCTAGCCAGTCTCACCACCATCATGCTTACTATTTTTCTGAATTCTGAACTAACAATGTGGCTAAAACATCAGCATGATTCCTGTGCTGTTTAAATCGTCATCCTGTTATTCCAACCACTATAAAGCCATTACTCCTATCCATAACGATCGCAAAAAGATACGCTGAAGTTTTTTAATAGGCAGATAAACTGGGTCATGAAGTTTTCCCCAGATGGCCATGGGGCCATTTCCTGTGCATGCAAGCAGAAAGATTTTAAAACCACTGAAAACAGATGAATTGAGCATTCCTTGCCAGCAAATGCTAAAATGAAATAACTGCTACCCACAGTTGTGCACCCGGCATTTGCTGCTGTGGAGCATGATGTTCTTTTTGACTGGTCAAATTTTTGCATATTATAAAAAAACACAGTGTTGTAATCTTGCGTGAATATACAAATAGATGATTGCTCTATTATTTTCTTGAAAATGTGTTTATAGTAAAAAATATAATTCTTTAAAATGAGTGCCGGTGACTCAGTGGCGCAGTGAGTAGCGCTGTCATCTCACAGCAAAAAGATCGCTGGTTCGAATCCCAGCTGGGTCAGTTGGCATTTCTGTGTAGAGTTTGCATGTTCTCCCTGCGTTTGCTTGGGTTTCCTCTGGGTCCTCTGGTTTCCCCCACAGTTCAAAGACATGCACTATAGATGAATTGAATAAGCTAAATTGGCTGTGGTGTATGTGTGTGAATGCAATAGTGTATGGGTATTTCCCAGTGATGGGTTGCTGCTGGAAGGACACAAGCTGAGTAAAACATATGCTGAATAAGTTGGCAATTAATTCCGCTGTGGCGACCCCTGATTATTAAAGGGACTAAACTGAAAAAAAAAGAATGAATGAAATGTATTACCTGTCCTTAAAGAAGAAGATCTCTCCTCTGATCTGGGCTACAGCATCAAATATGATGTTTTCATTACATACATCCATTGGTGTGACTGGTGGGGTGTGAGTGGGCAATGGCTTGTCTGTTGGTTCTCCTGTACAGAGAAAAGAAGAGTAAAGAAGTCAAAGAATTTTAAATATGATTATAATCAATGCAACATCAGAATTAATCAATACTGAATGGGACATTTAAATGACCACTTGAAAGCTCTCAGTTTCTGTAAATTTTCTAGGAATTTGTTGTTTTTAATAACAGTCTGATAGCATTTCTTTTTCTGATTTAAAATACAAATATTATGAGCATTTCTCTTTTTTTCTTTGCAGAAAACAGCATTTTAATCATTGGTATTGTGTCTAAAAGTCAATATAAACATATTTAAAATTATGGCATATTTTTTGTTTTGACTATTTGGCATTTTTTTGCTCCAAGCATTAGCATTTCTAATTGAAATGTAGAAAAAAAATCAGTACTTTGCAGGGGGAAAATGGATTTACTTAAAACATAGCTATGTAATTATTTACTATGTACAGTGTTTTAAATCAAGAGAAACAAATGATTTCCATAGATATAAATCATCTTCATGTCACACTTACCATAGAGCTCCTGGATGCCTTTAACATCATCATCAGACAGTCTTAAGGTTTTGGTGAATGTGTAGATAGGAGCCATGAGAGCTCCGGGGTCATCAGAATGCTCTAAACCCAGGGCATGGCCGAACTCATGGGCCGCCACAAGGAATAGACTGTAACCTGAAAATAAAACAGATGCTGATTTTTTAAAATGATTTAAGCTACATAAAAAAGCATATAGGATCATATTCCATGGAAAAGGAAGAGACAGTGACAGGAAGTGGGTAAAAATGCTTTTGTATCCCATTAAAGAACAGAATAATCTTGTCGAGCTTGAAATTATACAAACTATCACACACAAGAATCAAAAAATATTTTTGCATCACCTTGATCAGGACAAAAGCCCCATTTGCGGTCATCGTCAAAGCTTTTGGTGACAGCACACCACATTTTTCCATCATTGCGCCCTGATGTGGTGCAGGAGTCGTAACTATCACCCAAGAATTTGAAGGGGAAGACACAGGGTGCTCCATCTGAATTTCCTCCTGATGTTGACATTGCTGTGCAAAAAAAAAATACAATTCATGAATTAAAAAAAAAAAACACCTAAATGTTAGCAATGACAAAATAATCATTAGAAAAGCTTATGGATGAAGCCTTTGGAAAGTTTTTGGGATATTTGAGATATTGGTTTGAAATAAAAATAGAGTAATTTATATGACTTTGATGAAATATAATCACATATAAGCACTTTTAAACATTCCTCTTTAGACATTCTGTTTACTATTGCTGTTCACATTGCTCCTACATCAACTACCAGTTGGTTAGCTTAGGCATAAGGTATTGGGGACTAAGTTTTTCCTTGTCTAGTTACCTATAGTCACCTACAGTTAGGGCCAGACAGAATCTGCAGACATTTTTTGCTATTTCTGTACAGATTTATGTGGAATGATTTTGGGAGTATCATAACTAAAACCTTAATATGTTAAGTAAAAAAATATATACATTTTGAACTTTTATTTAATTTTTACAATGCTAATCTAATTAGATTCGGTTATTTGGTAAACAAAGCAAGTCTTTCATATAATATATCAACCAAATGTCTACAAAAAACAGAAATTACTACTTTTACAAACTGTATTGTAAGTAAATCTTAAGAACACTTTTTAATTAGTCAATAACATTACTGAAATTCATAAAAAATGAATAAACATTAATTTACACATTTACATACAACTAAATAAATAGACTCAATGATAGGCTTAAAATCTGCGGAAATATGCAAATTTCTGCACTTGCAGATTCCATGTGGCCCTACCTATAGTCAAGTTACATATAATCACTAGGATGTTAAGACTTTTAGTTGACATGCAGTTGCAAAGTTACTTAGGTGCTGTTTAAACCTGTGATTTTTCATCTTAAAATGTCATTTTACATTGAAAATGCTCCTTATCCAGACTAGCATTTTTATTGCACTCCAGAAGAGCAAACTCCATCCACACTATACAAGCCAAAAATGCATAATGCAACCATTCACGCTCACTGGAAATGCACATATTTTGGCATCCATACTTGGTGTCTACCAGTCGCATAATGGTCATATGAGAGGGTGTTGACAAATCAGGAAATGATATCCAATAATCCAGTTTTCTGTTTTCAAAAAAATCTTCATTTTAGTCTCAGCATTTCCAAACTAAAACAGGGATCTTTAGGGATTTTAAAATGCATTTTTTGCCAGTTTAAGATGCCAGAGTAGCGTGGATGCCAGCTGTAACCTCAACACATAGGCATATTAAAAAAAATTACAATAAATAAATAAAATAAAAAATAAAAATGCATTATTGTAAACAGCACTTTATAGTTATAACAGAAACTCTAAATGGGACAATCAAAATGAAGTGTTACTGTTAGAGATTTGTAATATTTTTCAGTAATATTATATTATTTTATTGAAATATATAGTTATTGTTGTATTTGATAAGGCATTTAATTTGTATATTTTGTGATATTATATTATGTACTTGATGTTTCATATGTATAAGCAACAGGGAAAAAGATAAGAAAGAATGAAAGGGCTTGATGGTAGTCTTTGACCATTCTTCAAAACCATATTTAAATTAAAGCTTGAAAAGAGTAAATGTTTCTTCCTTTTTTTTATTTTTGTTGTATCCAGACAAACGAAAATTAAACTGATATATTGCAAGTCCCAATGGAAATGGCGGAAAACTGGAAGAAATAAATTGTCAATACATTTACAAAATGAACAAATACAAATAAACCAGCAACATACTACATAACAACAATTAAAACACTAAGAACAGACGCAAAAGAAGCTGTGTTTTCTATCTATTGTAATTAAGTGTGTGTTTCTGTTTTTCCAAATATGAGGTCACAAGCTATAACGCAAGCAATAATTAGTGGTAAACCCGCATATTACTGTAGATCACTGCATCTGAACCCAAAGAAAAACTACAGGAAAGAGAAGCATCAAGGAACAGTCCTTCTCAATTACATAGACACAACAGTCTGAATCACACTGACTCGACAGACTCAAAATGAAGGTCACACCAGTTTCATGGCATAAACAGAGCTGTGTTTTGTTAAAGTTCAGCTAAAGTATGGGTCTGTGGTCCAAAACTCCAATTTAAAGTGACGGCTTGCACCATACTTCACTTCAACACACACACACACACACACACACACACACACACACACACACACACACACACACACACACACACACACACACACACACACACACACACACACAAACACACACAAACACACACACACAGACACAGACACACACATACGCACACACAAATAGGAAGAGTGGTCTGCATTCCCAGGGAATTGCAACCAGATGAGGACTTCTGTGCTCCTGCTTTGCTTATGCCAAAACACAACACAATGGAAAATATACCGTAATAATAAGAAGAGAAACTTTTACAGTCTGCTGGAAACTGAAGAGTGGATGAAGCAAATAACTGACCTTAAAAACCAAATGCATTACTGATCTAAGGTCTTTAATACAATTTCTCTCTTGATTGCCTATTTGGATGAATATCAATGTACATCTAAACATTTGTTTACATCATAATTTTTGTAAAGCTGTCAGAAAAACTGTACATTACAATAATGCTTTGAATTTGTTAATTTGTTAACTTGCTATTTAAGATGCTTCCGTTTAGCTTAAAGTACAACTTAAAGGCCTGGTTAGTTAGGTTAACTAAGCAATTCAGGTTAATTCTTTTTTTTTTTTTTTTTTTTACAACAAGTGGCTTGTTCTGTAAACAATTGAAAAAATTAACATCTTAAGGGGGTGAAAATGTTGACATAAATTAGTTTGATTTATTTTAATAAAATGTATGTATACCAGCTAAATTAAATAAATTTAATTCTTTCAAACAAAATGCTGTAAATGTCATGGAAGGGCTAAGAAATTTGCCTTCAACTATATAAATACAACTCATAACGTAACTCATAAAAACATAGAACAATAAACAACATCATAAAGTCTAGAATCTGTATAGTTTTGCATACACAGTTGAAGTCAGAATTATTAGCCCCATTTTGATTTTTTTCTTTTTTACATATTTCCAAAAATGATGTTTAACAGAGCAAGGGAATGTTCACAATATGTCTGATAATATTTTTTCTTCTGGAGAAAGTCTTATTTGTTTTATTTTGGCTAGAATAAAAGCAGTTATTAATTAAAAAATATATTTATATATTATAAGGACAAAATTATTAGCCCATTTAAGCTATTTTTTTTCAATAGCCAGAACAAACCATCATCATACAATAACTTGCCTAATTACCCTTACCTGGCAAGTTAACCTAAATAATCTAGTTACACCTTTAAATGTCACTTTAAACTGTATAGAAGTATCTTGAAAAATATAATTGGGCTAATAACTAGGGGGGCTAATAATTCAGACTTCAACCGTTTATTTACTTACCTCTGGGAAAATAAGTATTGAACACTTCATGTTTTTTCCTGGGAATGATATTTCTAAAGGAGCAGTTGACATGGAACTGAACCAGATTTTGGTTAAAAACCCAAAAAATACAATCATAAAAATAAAACAAAACAATAAAAAATGTGTAATAACAATGAAACTGAACTACCGAAATGTATTTAATACTTTATATAAAAGGCTTTTCTGGTGATGGCAGCTTAAAGCTGTCTCTTATATGGAGAATGAAGTCACATGAACTGCTCAGATGTGAGTTTTTCACAGACTTTAACAGATTGTAAAAATCTTGATGGTTCTTAGTACTTTATACTAGATTTAAGTCAGGTAATTGGCTGAGCCATTCTACAGCTTGATTTTCTTTCTCTGAAGGCAATTGAGAGTTTCTTTAGTTGTGTTTTGGATCATTGTCTTGCTGAAATGTTCACCCTGGTTTTAACTCCATCGTTCTGATAATGTAGATGTTGGACTAAAGCAATTGATATTAATTTACAATGGCAAAGGGCAGAGGGTTGGTAAATAACTACACTCTCAGAAATAAAGGTACGCAAGCTGTCAATATTGGTACCTCAAAAGTATACTTTTTTTGTTTCTAAAAAATTTAGGAGGAGCACTTTTGTACTTTTTAGGTACTAATATGTAGCCTTGAAGTATCAATATGGACCTATTAAGTACAAATTTGAATCTTTTGAAAAGGTACCACTCCAGTGACAGCTCACGTACCTTTATTTCTGAGTGTGTACTGAGAGATTTCAGCTGCAGCCTAAGCTTTCACTGCCTTTTTACACATCCCGTTCTTCATGTGTTCGATACTTTTCCTCAGCATGATTTCATGACACATAACTTAATTTGTAAACTAATTAGATTTGATTTCTTTGAATATATGGATTTATTTGGTTGCTACCAATACTTGGGGACAACTTTCAAGTCAACGAAACTTTTAGAAATATATTTTTTGAGAGAAATGGTGATGTGCTCAATACTTATTTCCCCCTGCTGTATATGTTTATACTTATATTTTATATGTATTTAATAGTACCATTCAAAACTTCAAAAATACAGTAAAAACAGTAGCATTGTTAAATAAAATTATTATTTAAAGCAGTTGTTATTCTAGTTTAATCAATTTTCTAATTGTATTTCTTCTTCTTATTCAAAGTTGAATGTCCAGTAAAAATTACATCAGAAATCAGAACAATATTCAGATTTCAAGAAATCATTCTTATTATCAGTGCTGAAAAGGTTGACCTGCTTACTGTTTATTGTGAAAACCATGGTATTCTTGTCTGCAAGTCACACTGAATTGTAGATCAGATTGATTTTTGACTGACCTGTCTCAGGACAGAATCCGTAAGTCTTGTCCTTGTCATAATCTTCAGTGGTTGCACACCAGCGGTATCCATCATCTCTGCCTGAGGTGGTGCAGCTATCATATTTGTCGCCCTGGAATGTGAAAGGGAACTTACAAGGGGCTCCATCTGCATTTCCACCCAATGTGAACAGGACTGTAATAGAGGAAGGAACACAAAACTTAGTCAGCGATTATGACACACCATATTACAGTCATGATACTGTGTCACATTTATTTTCAAACTACCTTGCGTCACTTTGGTTAGGAGCAGTGTCAAATTATATTGTACTTTAAAACTAAAGTACAAAGAGTACTTACGCTCATGGGGACAGAAGCCGTACTTTCCATCATCATCAAAGTTGTATGTGGTGGAGCACCAAAGGAACCCATCATCTCGACCCTGAGAGGTGCAGCTGTTGTACTCTTTACCCATGAACAAAAATGGAAACTTACAGAACTCGCCCTCAGCATTACCGTACTTCACCTTTACCACTACGTCAGAAGAGAGAGAAGGAGAGAGACCATTGTAAGACATTAAACAAACAATCAAAAACAATTACTTTAATATACTACAGACTACAAGTGACTAGAATCAAGACATTTGCAGATACCTTGTCCTTCTCCTAAAGTCCACTGCTCATCATCATCAAAGTGAGAGTCTCCTCCAATACCAGGTCCAGGGGCAAATGCATGAGCCAGCAGACCATCCTTGCCATCAAATGGATAACCATCACCATGTTCTACAAAAAATAATTCCACATTTAATTTAAATATTTATTTTAATTCGGTGCAGTGATTTGGGCTCATAACCACAGAATTAAGGGCACGTGTCCTTAAGGAAACGTGCACTTCTCTAACTGTCAAGCAAGACATTAAGTGCTTGCCGCATGCTCAGCGGCTGGTTACACTGCCAGCTTTTTAAACATTTAAATAATAATAATTATATAATAATAATTATATATCAGTAATAATTAACTTTAGGGGACACATGCCCTAAATGCTTTGTTCACCTCAAAAGAATACTTATGATTTCTGATTATTTCTTTATTCTGCTGAGCACAAAAGCTTAAAACCAAACAGTTGACGACAGCCATTAAGTTCCATAGTGAGACAACATACTATGGAAGTCATTGGCCATCAACTGTTTGGTTTGACAAGCATTCTCTAAAATATCTTCTTTTGTGATGACAGAATTGTCATTTTTGGGTGAACTATATCTATAAGAGGGGTCTAGTGTTTTATTTGAAATTTTCAGCTTACACTGGAAAGATTTAGACTGTGACAATTTTCTAACTGCTGGTATGCATTTAGTAATTGTCTTGCACAGCCAAGACAACCACAATGTAGATCAGCCTCCGAGGCAAATAAACTGTAAAGATTTTTCAAAGTGACTATGGTTAGTTTGTGACGTAGTACTTAAAAAATGTAACAGCTTTAATTCATTTGGGGTCAAGAAAAATGCTGACTGAAAGAAACTGAGGTTTCAGTAACTTAGTAACTTGACCAAAAACATTGTTTAGAAAAACAGACAAAAGATTTTCTGGAATACCATTTCGGCCAAAGTTAATCATGATGTCGGCTTCTCCATCCATGATTCTGGTGAATTTCAGAGGTGTAACATCACTCCAGACCTTAAAAGCACGATAGAAAGCATCATCAATTGTATCTTCATCCAGATCTGGGGTGTGCCCTAAGATTCTGTTGAAGAAAACAATATCACTTTTACTTGACTTTCCAGTTAATTATTCCACATTTTTGGGAAAAAAATTAAAATTTTGTTATTCCTCATGTGTTTTTCCCTACTTATGTGTTTTTATATTTAATATTTTTTATTTTGTTCATTTGCACAATTACTTTTCATTTTACTGCATTTTCTTTTTGCTCAAACATGCAAAAATGTTTTAGTCTCTCTGAGATAATATTTTGTTTCAGGACAAGTATTTCAAGCAGTAAACTATTTGATGCAAAATATGCATCCAATGTTTTGTTATGTACCTGCCAAAAATAAACAATTACGAGAATGATTTTCTACAATATCCTTTTTTATCTCAAAGTGACATAGGGATGCTCAACAACTCATCAGAGCCAGCTTGTCCCATCATCATCAGGTTATTATAGATGATTCACACACAGTGATGAGATGACAGCTGGTTATACTGACCACCTGTAGTGTGCAACATGGTGTCTTTCTCCTAAGTAGGGAGCACCGCTTCAAAACAAAAACAGGACTTTCAAATCTAAACCTGTTCTGGCATTAAAAGTGCTTCTAATGGTCCCTACAGAAAAAGGGAGCAACATCAACCAAATCTTATAGCTGATATTTTATAAATTACTATAAAAGCCTTCAAAGCCTTTCAAAAGTTCTATAAAAGCATAGAGTCAAGAACTCTTATGCTGACCAAATAACACAAGTGATGGCATTAAACTCTGACAAAAGCAACTGGCATTTACAAGGACAACAAGGAACCTTCCATGCAGCCACCCTCACAACAATATCAACAACACAAGGTTGATAGCCCAATGCTTTTGCTATGGTCTGACAGGTTAGGCAGCACATTTATTGAACCTGTCTTTGTGTGAGCACTCTTATCTAAACAGCAATAGAATGTTAACTCCGCTTCTGGCTATTATGCATCTTTGATCAATGCTTTACAATATAATAGTACCGAACCACAAAGCAGCTTACAAGCCCAGTATAGCAACTGACAAAACAGAGAAGCTTAGTATGTTAGTTAATGTATAATATAAACAGAATAATTTATTAAATATCACTCATACTTATTAAATATATTTGAACTAAATATTAAATGCAACATAAGTAAAATCTAGATAAAAGTCACAAATGTAGGCATTTATAAAAGAGATGAGTTTTAAAAGTATATCATAAACACACACATATCGTTGAAACTTTAATATAATAAATATTCTATATGGCACATATTACCAGCAATAATAAGATATTACTGTTGTCACTGTTTTGCTTCTTCAGGTTAACTTCCAGTTGAAGATGGAAATGGAGGCTTCTCATTGCTTTCTTTTGCCAAGTGCATTCCAAATAGCTTCATTATGACAAAATAGTGCTCTTCTCACTCAAAAGACCTCATTTTGAGTGGTCTCCCCTTCAAGGTTATGTTGGGAATTAAAATGTTTACTTGAGATTTATATAAAGCCTAACATGTCAATACATTTTTAAAAGATAGTGAAGGTTAAATTAGCAAAGCTGATGCTGACAGAAAATCTAAGGCTGAGCCATTTTTATACGGGGCACAAACGTTTTACTTTGTACTATAAAACAACATAGTTGTGGTCATTGTGACTCATAAAGTGGAAACACTATCAGGACATGCAGCCCAGAAAATATCCTCAAGATCTCAACTTATGTTTTTCGCAACAATGAACTGTTGATCACTTTCATTGAGTTTGATTACTTGCCAGTTCTTTCACAGTAGGTATTCAGTCGTAGCCAAACTTTTTTTTGCATATTTTTTCATCAGAACAACTTTTAGATTGTTGTTCTTTTTTAAGATCCACCAACATACAGTAGCCAAAAAACTCCCACTGGGAACATTCTTAAAAAATTTGATGGGTTTTGTTCTTTGTATTTTTAAATTACAGATTAAATTTTTTTTTTTACTGTTTTTAACCTTTTCTTGTTAGGGAAATTCTTACTCTCAAGCTATTAAAAGATCACATTTTAATATGCTGAAGAAAGAAATACATTTTTTTTTTAAATTAAGCCTAAATTTTACTTTTAAAAGTATACTCTACTTGATAATGTGCAAACAGAGAGGTGGTCAGTATGCAGTATACGTTGAAAGATATAAAAAAAAAAATCTTGCACATTTTTTTCACTTACGAATTAATAAATTTTTTTGTACTCAATTAAATTATGATTGCATAAATCTATGACTTTTTATTGAATCACACAAGCACTGGTCAAGGGATGTCTATTGTTCTGTCTTTAAATTTTTTTTTCTAAATCATACAGTGCATGTGTATGTGCATGCTACTCTGATCACTGCATCTCTGTCATAAGGACAGTACACAAATGCATAAAACCAAGGCATACTTTGGGCTTTAGAATGAGTGACAAACAGTGGGGAGCTTAGTAAACACAAACCTGTAGGTAACGTTTTTTTGTCCCCACTTGGGCTTCCTGTGAAAGAAATTGTAATTGGCCACATCAGGAACCCCACATCGTGGTTTCTTCATGATCTCTACTGTCTTCTGGTCAATCTCCCCTGTCTCTGGCAAAGCAAAAAACTTCTGCATTTTCTTCAGCGTGTCCTTCAACACCATTAGATTACACCTGTCTTTAGGGCAGCCATAGAACTTATTTAAGTAGTGCTGTGAAAAAAGATGAATAAAAATACAATGAAAGTGCGAAGACACACACACACACACACACACACACACACACACACACACATATATATATATATATATATATATATATATATATATATATATATATATATATATATATATATATATATGGAGAGAGAGAAAGAAAAAAAAGTGTCTGCTTTACTGAAACTGTTTACCGCACTCAATATCTTCGCTCCTAAAGCACAAGTAAACAGTTTTCTTGTGCTTTAGATTTTCCATAGACATCCCAACAATAATTAAAATACCATTATGAAGGTAAATAACAACACCAATACTTTAAATAACAATACAATTTTGTCAATAATAACAATACAATTACTGTAAGTCAATTTAAGTAAAACTGACGGGAACCAAAATGACAATAATTTAAAATGTAGGATAAAAAACCTTAACGTTTTCCTTTAATAAGGGAAATAATTGTCTAATAAAGGCCTATCCATAACGTGTAATAAACACTAGTCACTGCTTACGCCGTTCTAACGGTTTCATGATTGTCGTAAAATGAAAGTACACTCACCAGAGCCACTTCTTTGTCTGTGTGAGCAGTATCATCGCCGGGGAACTTTATGATGGGTGAGGGCGCAGCAAAAGTTTGCAGGGAAGCAAGAAACTGCACGAGGAAAACTTTAAGGACAATATGCCTACAGCTGAAAAACTTAACGGACATCATGCTGGTCCGATTCCGAGATGTCCGGGTATTGAAAATAGGGTGGCGAACAGCCCTTTCAGACGTGTTCACCAAGCTCCAAGTTTGTTCGACTGCACTGCAAATGCTCTTTCTTGTCCTCAGCGACACATCCTGCTTTCGTGGTCTGTGGAAAGGGTTCTGCTTGCACACGCACTTTCTTGATGCTGGGGCTGGAGAGGGACTGCGCAGCCTCCAGATCCAAGAATTTGGGAAAGCAGTGAAATAGGAGACGGCAGCGGGAGCGAGCAAGCTAGAGTTGTTTGTGCGCGCGCCCAATAGCACCGAACCTAAAGTTTCAAGTTTACTTTTTACACAGTTGAAGTGGGGTTGCTTACCCTTCATTATCATGTTTCATGTTCAACATTGGTTGCAGTTACCTTGGATTGATAGCCTATATAAAAATTGATTATTTATCAATAGTTTGGCAGTAGGCCTATATTTGCAAACTGTCTTACATATCCATATGATTCATATGTTAGTTACACAATCTGATTAATATTGAGTTGTTTCAAATAGGATTAAAGAAACAAACAAGATTAATTAAATATCTAATAACTGAGTCATCATACGCTATAAAGCATATCAGTGTAGATTAAAAAAGCATGAAAAAAGGCTTAAAACACTAAATAATACAATAATGAAACACACCCCATGCTGCAAAAGTCAATTTGCATGATTTTACTGCAATCTGACAGATAATTTGGATTTAACCCTTTCTGCAGGTCTAGATTACTAAGGATTGATGGAGCATTATTTTATTTTGAAGGTGATTAAATTATTGGTGGGGACATTTCAGTAATTGCTGCATATTGGTGAGGACACATCCCCTCCGTCCATGCCAAATCTACGGCCTAAAAAAAATCAGACAATAGAACCAAGGACAATTAGGTAATTGCTTTGGTTTTTGGTTTCAGTTGCAATGAATAACATTTGTGTTGAAGTTATTGACATGCCAAAGATGTGCTGTTGTAATTGCCGCAAAAGCTGAACATGTCAAATAATAAAGTTAAAAATCACTGCAAGTTTCATAACATCTGCATGTTTCATTAACATTATAAAATCATGATATGAATGCAAAATAATCAGCTGTTCTAATATTGTCTGGTGTCATATATATATTAAAAAGTGACACTGACAGCAAAGGGGTTTAAAAAAAAAGCCAAAAAAAGTAAATTAAAAGTAATGCAGCCATATATGGGTCATTCTTCAACTACAGGCACTTTTAGCCCTGTGAAGTTGAGTAAAAAATCTTGTTCAAAATGAACGCATAGACTCATAAGTTTAAACAATTTGTCTAGTTTTAAGATCTGTAAGAGGACAAACTTAGATAAATCACACTCTAAAAATGTTATATTAATTTGGTTAAGAGCTTATTAGAAAATAAACAAATTGAATTTGTATATTAAATGGAGCATGTGCATATTATACATTGCGAATACTTTTAATGTGTGATGAGAACTTTTAAAATAATTTTATCAAATGTGTGTGGTGATGGAAATGACAGTGGTGGAAATGACATTTCAACAATTTATCGTGAAAAACGTAAAATAGCTTCACCGATTAGCCTTGAATTGACACTAGCCTTTCATGTACACAAAACACTCTCATTTTAATTTTGTTTGGTTTTTAAAAGCATACAGTATTTGAAGGTACAACATGTTTGGAAATGACATAGAATAAATGTATTTCCTTATCAAGAAATATTTATATTGATTTTTCTTCAAGTGTTGTTGATAAAATTGTTTAATTCCCTCCATCTTGAACATGCTCTCAGATTACACTATTAATTTTCATAGCACCTAAATAATCTTTTACACAAACTTTTTAAAGCGACATTACAGTGTTGTGGTGGAAATGACGTTGATACTGTGTGACAACTTTATTTTGTATAAAGTAATATTGATAATAGCCTTACATTAATAACTCTAAAATATTGAAATTATTTCACTAGTGATTTATTAAGATACATTATATCTATATACCATATAAATAATATTGTAAAATGTTAGTTTTATTGTTGAAGTTTAAAACTCTGGGTGTGCGACAAGGTGAGAACAGTGATTTTGACACCTAAAAAGAGGTTGAATAATATGAAAAAATATATATAATAGAAAGGTAGGCTAGTACATTTTTAGTAGATTAGTACAATATAAGTAGATTATATTGTTAGTTTGACAAAGAAAGAGGAATTTGAAAAATAAATAAATAAATATATATATATATATATATATATATATATATATATATATATATAATCAAAGGACACAAAAGTGCCTGTAGTTAAATAATTGCCTATATATGGACCTAATTGATTAAAGGTTTTTAAAGGAATTGCGATTGAAATAAATTAATGTAAGTTAAATAAAGAAAAAATAATTGATTGACAGCCAGTTAATCTAAACATCGTTAAACTTTTTTTGAAATCATTAAAAAATTATTATATATATATAATGATTATATATAATGATATATATATATATGTTTTATATATTATTATATATATATATATATATAAAACTACGACACAGGGCGTTGACGACGGTATGTAAATGAGAGGTGACGACTACCGCGTGACACGGTTGGATCCTTTAGAAAAACAGACATCACAGCGACCTCTAGCGATTTAATTACTGTTTACGCGTACTGACTAGCAAATAAATAATATACTTGCAGTCAATCAAGGTCGGAGCACTGCCTGGTTGTATTCTCTGGCTGTACAAACCCACAAACATTCAAAGAGGTAAGGATGGTTTAGGTTATGGTTGTTTGTCTGTTGCTTAAAATCCGTGGCCTAACTTACACGTGGCGAAATAGAAGTTTAAGAACCGCGCTAAACCAGAGCTAAATATTCTGCAAAGACTTAACGTATTTTACAAGAAAACAGGGGCTATCAGATTAAATATCAGATGGATATTTACACATTTCATAAATATATGTTCCCTGCATTATTAGCCGTAGAAATGAGCTCTCTCACTTGTTTGCCTTAATGTTACAATCGACGTCTGAAAGCAGGCCCAGTTTCTGTTGTGCTTTTGGTGAAAAGCCATTTTGTTACTGTTAGTATTAGTTACTATTATATATATTACTTACTAATATTGTAAATGTAAGCCAATTAAACGTGTAGTGTAGCTGTCTTATTCTATTCAACGTTCTAACATATTTCATTTGTCATCATGTTTTTGGCAGTTTTCACAGGTCCAATTGCTGAAAGAAAGGAAAGGTCTTCCCTCTAGTGGTGTACACGTGGAAATACACACCGAAAAGGCCTACATTTTGCAAGGTAAAATTGATCGCATTTTTATTGTATGCGTTTCCATCTCGTGTTGTTTTCTTCCTCTGTGCTGCATGGTCTGCTGTAAACCAGTTTGGTCTTGTATTTCTCAGTTGACTATCTTTATGAAGCCTACCCCTTCCTTTATATGTATTGGACTATGTTGTTTAATTTCACCAAAACACTTAAAGTTCCAAGAACTCTTATAAGATGATTGTATTTGCCATAAATCCTTTTGCAAATAAAAAACAAGCTGTGCAAAAAAAAAAAAAAAAAAAAAAACTAAACTTGGGCATTTATGGCAGACACGAACCTGCCTCCATTTAATCAACATCATCACCTGGAGGCACAGTATCACCAAGGTTTTAAATATATATATATATATATATATATATATATATATATATATATATATATATATATATATATATATATATATATTCCATGCCAGCCATAAATGCCCAAGTTTAGTTTTTTTTTTTTTTTTTTGCACTGCTTGTTTTTTATTAGCAGTTTTTTTTTTTTGCAAATTTAATTTTTATTTCTCAAAACTTAATTTTCCCTTTGCAGTTTTTATTTTTGTTAGAAAAATGAGTTTTTATATTTCCCAAAAATTTATTTTTCACTTTGATATATTTGGAGATTTAGATTTTTTTGTGCTCAATACTTTATTTTTTGTTTGCAAAACTTTCTTTAATTTTGCAAGTATATAAGGTCCTAGATTGATGTCACCAAATAAGAGGTGTGAGGGATTTGTTTTAAATGCATACAGTAAGCTTATAAATATAGTCAAATTGAATCACTCCATTTGTAATCTTTAAATATTAAAATCTCTGTGTTTTTGTTTTATATCGTTATTATGATAAGGCATATACGAAAATCTGATGTAAATACAATTGATTAAACTGTTATAGTATCTGAAAGTTTAATAATATAATAATTCTAATGGTATTCAAAAGTCAAGTGTGCCCTCTGGTGGTGGCCGTAAGTCGTGACACACTTTAATGTGTCCTCCTCAGTGGGGTTTATTGAGCTTCAGCAGGCCTGCAGTTCGCCCCCAGATTTCCTTTACCTCATTTTGACATCTCTTTTTTTGTCCTCCAGTGGAGGGATTAAAGTCGACAGAATATTGATGTGGGCTCTTTATAGCAGAAAGCTGGAGGACTTAGCATTGAAATCGAACCGGCTGAATGCTCTCAAAAAGGATTTCTGCCGCATATCTCACTTGTCAATTCTCCTTGCGCTGAGAGGAGTTCATTTTTTTGAGAGTTTGCAGATGCAAATAAAGAGTATGTGCGAGTGTTCATCTCATTTCACGCTTAAAACCGTAAACAAAAAGTAAACAATTTTTTTCACATATCTTCCGTCTCTCTCCATTTGTTTGGATGTGCCTTTCTTACCTTTCTCTCTCTCCTCTAAAATGACGGCAGCCACGTTTGGCCTGTGTCTTCGAATAGAGGTGTCCTGTTCTGGCAGGGCTTTGAATGCATCTGTGCTTCTGAATGCACAACAGGCATAGGGAGACTGAGATGATAAAATTTGATTTGTATGCAAATCGTTTCTTTTGTTCTGCATTTGTAGGCTGCCAGAGATCTTTTACTTATAACTTGCTCTCTTCTTTTCCGTCTCTCTCTCTCTCTCTCTCTCTCTCTCTCTCTCTCTCTCTCTCTCTCTCACTGAAGCTCTCCAGCCCCCCTCCGACTGTGCTTTCTCCACCAGAATGCAAATGCACAACTGATTCATCTGTTGGTTGATAAAACATTTAATCAACATCCCTGGCATGGTTTAAAACTAAATAGGCTACATTCGTAAGATGACTCTGTAGGAGTCGGAAAATCC